ACAGCCACCCACACTGTAGTCTGTAGTAGGCCATTCCACATCAGTGTGTTTTAAATTTCATAAATTTATAAAAATATTATGTTAGTTTGACTGAGATGGAGTACACCAGAGTACTTTATACTACTACAGGGTTCACTACATCAGAGTACTTCATACTACTACAGGGTGCAGAACAACAGACTATTTCATAGTAGTACTACTAGTAGTTCATATTAGTATAGTAGTAAATACTCTGTTGGCTGCTCTAACTGCCCTAGTTCTACACCCCCCCACCCAGCTGACCGTTTGTTGACAGGTCCAACCCTGGCCGTTGTGCCGCCCCTCCACACCATGTGCTGGTCATGCCTGGTCCTCTGCTGGTGTTTCAGCCCCCACTGCTACACTGTCCTTGGCAGCTCTACAATGGAAATACTACAGCCACACTGCTGCACCCCCCCCCCCCCCCCCCCCCATCACCACCTAGTGGTTAATAATAACCTACTGCAGAGGCAACACTTGATGCCAATCAGAAGTATGTTCGAGAGCTGTCATGGTCCGTGTGGACTGGACCGGGTCTGAGGATCAGGGTCAGACTCCAGGGAGTCAAAGATAAGGTCGACTGGACTGGACTGGACTGGCTTACTGTCAAAGTTAAAGATGAAGTTCAAAAAATTCCAAATCTCTAAGTTTCAAAGGTTTACCTGATGAGTTTTAGTTTAGTTTCAGAGACAAATTTAAATAATGAACTGATGAAGAAGACTTTGGACTTTTTGCCGTAGCATCTGTTTATTTACTCCAGTAAACACAGCACAGGTGCTGGTGTGATGTCACTGGGTCACACCTGCAGCTCTGACCTTTGACATCCTGTCACTCGAAGTCAGAAAACAGATCTCTAGACCAATCACACGTCGCCTTCTCATCATCAGTTCTGTCCAGACTCTGTTCGGCTGACGTTGCTCCGCAGCCTGTCGTACCGGACGCTCCGGGAGACGTGGACCGACGGGTCAGAAGAGTTCTTCTACAATGAAGGTGACGTCCCGACTGTGTTCTCAGAACAGAGCCCCTCCTGCTGGTCAGAGGAAGCAGCACCCCACTGGAGACACGTTTGTACCCTCTGTTATATGAAGACAGCACCCTCCTGCTGGACGAAGGTCCAACAGCAGGAGAACCAAAGCCAAAGTTGACTTTTAGAACCGGGGTTGACTGGACCTGAGGGGAGAAGTCCAGGTGTGAGCAGCAGGACTTGGTTCTTTTCCTTTTAAATATATGTGGAGTTGACAACAACACGTTGACACTTTGACCCCTGAGCTGAAGTGGTTCTGACGTTCCCGCAGTTTGTTGGTTGTTGTCCGTCAACAGAGGAGAACAGAACATGTCTGCAGAACAGTCATAGCTGTTCTCATCCACTGAACTGTTCTCTCTTCTGTGGTCAACACACTCCCCCTCACACACACACTCCAGTGTGTGTCCACGCTGTGACAGCTGGACACACGTGGTTCCAGTCCAGACGTTCTCCTCCTGTGATTGTTCTCCTTGTTCTGTTCTTACTTTTTTGGTCTTGTTCTGTTTATAAAAAATCTCTTTGTTGCCTAAAAACTCTGTCAGCGCCTCAGAGAATGGCAGGTCGGACGACAGCAGGTCGGAGGACGGCAGGTTGGGAGACGGGAGGTCGGAGGACGGCAGCGGCGTGGACACACTGGTTCCACAGAATCGTCTGGTGGGAAGAACCAGACTATGGTTCTGATGATGAAGAGCTGATGATGTCATGACCGACTGTTGGCTGCTGTGACCTTCATTCTCCCCCTCATCATCATCACTGCTGCTGCTGAGGCCTTCATCCTGCTCTGCAGATGAAGTCACCAGTCCCAGTGACCGTTGCCACGGGGGAGTTGGGGGGAGGCTGCCTTGGAATCTAAGACAAAGACAGAACGCACACTCATTCTTCAACACAAGGTAAACGAGAAAGAAGAAAAACAGAACATCACATTTCTCCACAAATGGTGGTTACATGCTGTAGTTGTAAGCACGCCTTCCTAGCAAACAGAGTCCTGGGTTTGATTCCCAGAGGAACCACATATCTCTAAAGGCGCCTCCTGTGCCTGTGTTTGCTGCAAAGACTCACACTGTACACAATGTCCCTACTGTGGGACTAATAAGGGACTTTATTATAATAACAATAATTATTATAAAATCTGATTATTGTTAGAAAGTCTTGGGGGAACACAACACAAACTCATTTAAGAATTATAAATAAATATATATATATATTTATAATACTTAAATGAGTTTTATCAGTTTTTTTACTTTATATATATATATATATAAATGTACTGCTCAAAGGTCATCCGAGTTTCTTACCCAGGCAGTGACAGTGAGGCCAGGGCTGAGGTGTGAAGTGTGGAGTTGCTGGAGCTTGTGGTTGGAGAATGAGGGGAAACCAGTAGAACATCCTCTGAGGGTGTGTGTGTTTGGAGCGTGTCAGTGGATCTCTCCGGGTCTTCTGCAGCTCTGTGCAGGAGCAGCTGATAAAAGCGGACCACCGTGCAGCCCCTCAGACCTGCAGCTGGTGGAAGAATCATCTGAGTGGCCACAAACTGGACTCTGTCTGTACCGGGGTCCGGTTCTTCAAAGCTGAGCCCACCTTCTGTTCCTGGAAACTGCAGAGAAAAACAAAACCATGTTTAGGTCCTGAGAAACCACAGAAACCACTTCAGCTGGTTGTTGTTTACTTGTACCTTTATACCAAAGATGAAATGTCTACCGATAACACACTCCTTCACAGCCTTCAGCAGCAGTTCAGCTTTGGTTGGTGCTGCAACTGGTCCATCCACGTTCTCCACCAGCCTGAAGAAAAGGACACACACAGTCCATATAAACATATGTCTCTGACTCACGGTTGTATATGACTGGGCTCTAACTCTTGGTGTAAATGAGGAGAAGGGTCAGAGTGACCGTGTGGAAATATAACTGATGTCTGTTCATAAAAATTAGTAAACATAAAAAATAAAAGTCTGACAAATCTGACTTGTCAGACTTGACGACGAATCAGAAATAAATAACGCGTATTAAAATTAATACAAGACAATTACGATCAGGTCACAGTCATCCTACTCTTTACTGACCTCTGCAGTCCACTTGCAGAAATGCCAAAGAATGAGTTCAAGCAGGTTCCAAACACAGTCACTCCAAAGATCCGTCTGCCCCGGGTCACTCTGAGCGAGAGCCGATACCTGTACTCCAGCTGTTCTCTGACACAATGGAACCCACACCTGGAACACCTGTAACTGCACGAGGTCACAGTCACACATACTCAGCAGCAGCTTCATCAGGTACACACACTTTTTAATTATCCGGTTTTTTTTACCTGCTTCCATTCTGCTGCTCCGCGTTGATCCTGGAGAAGCAGCCTTTACAGGCGGGATAAAGTACTGTGTTGTCGTGTAGAGAGAGAACAGCACAGTCCACTAGAGCCCGTCTGACCGACATGACCACAGTCTACTGCAGTCAACAGGCTAGACTAACTTCCAGCCAACACTGCCAAAACACTCATTATCGATCTGTCCGAGCAGCTCTTGGGCTTAGAATTTAGTACTAAATATTTTAGTAGCAATTTTTAATTATTATTTAAAAAAACAAAACAATAAGAGGCGCACTAGTTTCTATCTGTCCAAGAACATGTTCAAAGCTTTTCTTCTATTCGTGTTTTGGTTCCCCGGAAGCTGAAAAAACAGCTCACAAGTGCTGCACCGCCCTCTTGCGGTGAACTGGTAGACAGTAAAGTGTCGGCAGAAAGACTGTCCGCTTAATATGAGCGACTTTGGCCGTGTTTTCCCATCAAATATCTCCATCTGGTTATAATCAGGATGAAGCAGCAGTAGTGTGGACTGATTGGCGGACTGTGAAAGTCCAGAAATGAAAATATTGGTTTGATTTATCTTTTTATTTGTTCATTTAAATACATTTTATTGACTTCCCATTGTTTACAAGACATTTACATAAATATGTTTTTGACTGTGAAACAAATGACTGAACAAACACCTTCCGACGTAAAAGCGACATAAACTTATACCAGTACGGGTTTAAAAGTTAAAAAACGGAACCACACTCTAAGTTCTCTAAATAACGGAATAACTAAACGACTGTCACGGCGACACTTCTTTTTATATTATAAGCAACTTGTGTTGAGAACAAAAATTGATGACGTTGGTTCACCACAGGGGGGCTCTGGTCAGCATGCCCTTCCAGCTCTGAGAATCTGCCTCCTGAAACACAGAAGGACAAATGCTCCTGGTTCAGGAGTAGTTAAAGGAACTAAGACAGTACTTGGAACTGTTGTTTGGTCAAATCTACCATGTACACTATAGTACTGGGACTAATTTTTAACAAAGTACCTGCCCAATAGGCAGTAAACAAAGGCGTGGACAAAGAGAAAGAATATTTATTCTAAAAAATATTAAGGATTCTGGAACTATCCAGAATCATTGTAAACAAATAGTTGAAATCAATAATACAAAAAAACATTGAATAACTAATTTAATGTTTTAAACTTTCATAGTCACCAACATGAAGTGGTTTTTACAGGTTAAGTTAATTTCTGCACACTAGTAAATAATCCGAGTCATAGGTGTAGTGTGGTGACGTCACCTCCATTCTCGTCTGCAGGAACCTAAGCTTCTGGTTCAGACAGTCAATCTCCTAGGACAGAACAGAAAGGCCACAGTAATTCAGAGGTGGAAAGGACCGTACCATGTCTGTGGCACCATGTGGTCCACTAACAGACCTAGAACCAATGTTCAAACCTGGCTAAGTTTTTCACTGCGTCTGATTTTAATTTGAGGAAGAAAGTCCTCCAGTTTTTGAATCTGGAATGAAACAAGAAAAGAAAACTCCATGAATGGAGATGAAACCAAACATTTAATATACAAAACGGAATCGGTTCATTATTAATAACTAACTAAGTATCGTCTCTGCTCCTGAGTTATATCAACAAGTGGGTATCTGTGGTTTATTGACCAAACTTAACAACCGTAATAGCAACGGGCTAGCGAGAGTCAAATAAGTCTTTGTAAATATGAACTCTGTTTGGAACATTACATTGACATTTTAAACCCATTAATATGGTTTTTAGACTTGAAATAATTCTAAATCTTTTTATTTGAATTAGTTAACTCTATGCTCCACCCATCAGGATTGTGACGGTTTCCCTGCTCCCCTCTCATACAATGGACTATTCCATTGTACTGCGCATGTGCACGCCGGAATCCGGAAGATGCAGGAAAAACAAACGTGTTGGCGCGGCGTTGAACAAACTGAAGAGGGATTATTACGGGGGACATAGTTGATTCAACTGTAGAGGTTATTTCAATAACTGCTACGGTTTTTACACCATTCACGGTGACGCCTCACGATGGTTGAAGCCCCCGACTCGTCGACGTCTCTGGTCAGTCGTCACCACACAGTGAGTATTTTAAATCACTCACCTTCACATTTGCACATTTCTGGCCAAATCTTCTTTTGCCCCGTGACTTACCCTTCTGTCTATAACCTGCAGTCTGGTCTTTATGCTCTTGTTGATCACAGACACGGGAATGGTTCTAGGTGTGGGGCGAACTGGACAAAGAATAATGACAAATACGACGTTTCAGTGTTTTTTATAATATCAGCATGACTCAGTGACTAATGTGTAAGGAAAGAGCTATAACATCATTTAAAAAAAGGTCAAACAGAGAAGTGTTGTCGTGATACCGACATTTTGGTTTCGATACTTTTCCACACTAAGGGAGAACACAGTTTTAGAACTGTGTGAAATAAATAAAATACAACTACAATATTACTATTAGATATGGCCTGTCATAAGAAGCACTAATGTCTTCACTTGGTGTTTTACCAAACTTTATATAGTCTTTATGCCACTGTTCAGCACTGAATGCACGTTTTGTCCATGGGTAAATTTATAGGTGATTCCCAGTCTTTCCTTTAATTCAGATGATGAGGTTCACGCCTGCTGAGAATGTACAAATATATGAACCTAAAACGCTTGGTTTTAGTGCCTTTAATCGTTAGATTTTCACATTTCCGATTGTACATAAACGTCCCTCACCTTCCCATGTATATGAACAGGAAATACATGAATTAAAAAAAATGGACCCCCCTCCCCCCTAACTTGGGCCTTTAGCTAAACTGTGGTAGACTTCGCATGCAGACTTTAAATTACTGTGTAGTACATCAGTAGAGTTAGATGTATTTTCCAGTTGAATGTGAGTGGACAAAGTTGTACCATGTTGATGGACCTTGACGACTTCCAGAACGTGAGGCCTGTATGAAGAGAACATGTGGTCAGTGGTCGTCATGGAAACATGAAGACAGCAGAAACAACAATGTTCTCACATGTGTTTGGTGTTTTTGGCCATGGAGCTGTTCAGTGGGATCAGACAGCCGCGACTGTTCCTCACCTGCACACAACCAGAGTTCATGGCCACAGTGGAACTGTTAGTGAGATAACTATTTCATTTCTGAAACCACAGTTCTGTGGGGGCGCTGTTGTACCTTAAAGACGACACCAGAAGGGTTCAGGCCAAAGGTGGAGGCAGTGATCTTAAAATGGAAAACATATGAAAATGTACAACAACAAGACTACAGTAAAATACAGTACAGTGTACCTTCATAACACACTTGGTTTTTACTTGATAGTTTAATAAACAATAAAACAGTCCACAGCATGACTTGTTTTGTAGAATAAACAGTTCCAGAAGATTCTTCTTCCATTATTTTACTACTAAACTGTTGTTGGCTTCTGTTTTGTGCTGCAGATGTTTTCCTCAGAGACTTGTGTGTTCGTTCACACTGCTCTCTCTTAATATTCAACTATAATTTAATGATACTATCTAAGTGAGCTGGAAGAAAATATCCATGCACTGAAATATCGCAATATTTCATTTCATAATAATATTCTACAGCGCTGTAGCAATTTTTTTTTACTAACAACAGCAAATATTCATGGTGTTGGTTTATTTTTGTGTTGCATTTAAACTCCCGACAGCAAATTATTGCCCATACACCCTAGAATCACACTTGTTTGTTGATATTATAAGTGACTCCATCAGATGGTGCTGATAAGACCTGCAGGCACAGACCTGACATCTCACATGGTAGCTTTACATGTTGGTGAGTGTGTAGTTTAAAGTTGCTGTGGTTGTTTCCTCTAACCATTCCTTCTGACCTGCTCACTTCCTGCCTCGCATCAATGTTGTGGAAGTCTGATGATGTCAGACATGGATGTTCAGGCGTGTATCTGATTTGGGAGCACATATGAAAGTGACTTGGTACTTATTTGGAGAAAGTGGGATATGAGTCCATTCTGCCTGTAGGTGAGCACAGTCGGAGCTCATTTTCAAAGTCCAGCTTGGATTTAAGATGTGGTTTAGTTTAAAAATCCAGAAGTTTCTGGTGTTTGTGGTCTGTGTTTGAATCTAACGGTAAAAGTGTCGCCCACCTGAATGATATCGGCTTTAGAAGCTTCTGGAGGGATGGACACTTCTCGAAGAGCCACCACTCTGTCATCTGTCCAACACACACACACACACATTGTTTTTTGTGTTTTGTAAGGACTTCTCATAGACATGATCTATTCTTTCTAATCTAGCTCCTTACCCAACCATTCACCATGGTTTTTACAGGAACACAGAGGAACTGATCCATCAGCCTAACAGCAATATTAAAAAATGTTCAGTACTGTATAATAAAAACAGGATGAAGTAGTGGTCTGTTAAAAATAAACAGGAGCATACGATATTTAGGTAACATTAAGGAGCACATTTAAATGGTAACAACTCTACTGGAATGGAAAAAATACATGTAATTTTGTGTATACAAAGGAAACTGCAGTGACTGTGCAGTACTAAATCAGTTCTCCAGAGATTCGTCCTATATTTAATTAACTTTTCATTTCCAGCGATTGTAGTGTTTGTCTGACCAGTCAGCAGCAGCTGTTTCCTCTTAACCACAGCTGACTGAATCAGGAACGTTGCTAAATCAAGTCGTTTAAAATAAAATGTAATATCTGGATTTTCATTATTAATTTTAAAAAGAGACAAATACATTTTCAGTAAATAACGGTCTTCATTTTAGAGAACATGGTTGTCATGGTAACGTATCCCGGCGCGCAGATAAATAAATATGATTTAAAACCTTGAACGTTTTAAAAACACAAACCGTTTTTGTCGAGTCGCCTCAGCGCGAACCAGACTTTTAAATCCGAGTTTTGATCGAAGTCCCTGTCAGACATTTACACCACCCTGAACGCAACAGAAGCAGTGGGCAATCAATCAACAGGAACCTGCTGCAAACCGGAAGTTCAAATCAGAACAAGAGCTGTAGTCCGCTCTTCGTCGGTTACACGGTAACACGGCCCTAAAACTTCGACTACAACAGCAGCGTTTATATATATATATATATATATATACACAGTATATACAGTATATATATATATACAGTATATATATTTTTTTTTTTGACTTTTGAGCACACTAAAACACACTAAACTAATAAGTCCCTGGAAAAGTCTTCAAAAATAAGTGTCTTAAAAATGACTAAAAATGCACTTATTTGCCTTATAATACTTAGCTATTTCAATTTCTGTGGCTAAAATTCAGAAACAAATATACTTTTTTGGTATGTCAACTTTTAATCACAGTGAAATACTATTGACTAATAAGTTCTTGAAAAATTCTTCACAAATAAAAGCAGCTTATTTACTTCAGAAGGTGTTTCTAATACAGAATTAAACCAAGGCACAGTGAAAACTAAATGTTTTTATTATAAGAAACACCAGTCAGAACAACAGTCACTCCTCTAAAACACTGGGCATTGCTTCAAAAGCCTATAAATAATAAAATCAATGCAAAATAAGCAATATTACAGCACAGAAATACAAACAGTTTGGTCAGAGACAGAGAGTGGCTCCACACAGACACAAATGTTACAGTGATGTGTGCAGTGAACAACACTGCATTTATTAAATAGGTACAACTTCAGCAGTAATCACAACCAACAAGGAAAAAAACACAAAGACAGTCAAAGCTCAGCTGGAATAGATGGTGACAGTGGTGCATTGTGGGTAATTCTGCAGTCAGTTTGAAAACACTTTGTTGAAACAGTTTTAAAGCACTGCTGGGAAGGTGTGAGGTAACTTTAGTTTAGTTTTTTTACAGAGCCAACCTTTGATAACTAGCAGCAATAAAGATAACTGAATCTTTTAAAAAATAAAAAACACAAATGGCATCTCAGTTCTTCTTTCTCACAGCTTTTACAGCACGCTGCAGGTTCTGTGAACTAGTATACAAACCTTAACTCAGCCAGTGGGTGGACGTGCTCATCATATTACATGTTGAAATTAAAATTTGTTTATTTTTAAGACAATAAAATACAACAGTGTGAACCAACCAATCAGGAACACACAACTCAAATATAATAAAAATAAGAATATATGGTCTTTCTGTCACAGTCCTGTCCAACCAGTCTGGTCTTTAGACTTTACTCTGTTGGCCATTACTGCAGCAGAGTGATGCTGTTTTGATGTCACCTGTACAAAGGCAACGTGGGAAAAAAGACGAGGCAAAAACATTAATCGCATAAAGTAATGGACTTATTTTTCAATGGTGGGAGAGTCTCTGGTCACTGGTCAGTCCTTCTGACTCAGACCAACCCGTCGTCTCTGTCACACTTCACTTTCATGTTACCTGTTTATGCTAATCCATGACCTGGTTCTGTTGTCTGGAGACGATGCCTCAGTGGACCAGATGTGACTTGGTCATATTTTCTTCGGACCATCTTCATCATATCAGTTTGCAGTGTGTCATCGGTGTCAAAGTCATTGGTTGTATCACTTTGACACAGCTAAGCTTTTAGTGAGTGGTGCAGTGGTTGGATTCTAACCTGACATACAGCAGGCCCCAGGTTCAGGCTAATATTGACACATCAGTGCAGATGTATTTATCACCAGCACTCACTCACTCACTCATGTCCTGGTCACATGACCTGCCTGGGCGTTACCATGGACTGACATCAGATTAAGAACTCAATGTCAGAGAATTGACTTCCTGTAACTGTTACCCACGCTCTAGTAGTAGTTGTAGTCATAGTAGTAGTAATAGTAGTCGTTGTCGTCCCCCCCGGTTCTACACACTCATTCAGCTCTTATTTCTCTGCAGAGCCTCACACAGGTTTTGGTTGGGATCTGGCTCCTGACTCATGATCTCCACACACTCCCATTCTCCGCTGCAGCTGGACCGCTTCACAGCCTCCACCACTGTCTGCACGTACAGGCCATCCTCGAATGTCGGCGCCATGGCAACTGGTGCCTGTGCCCAGGACCTGCGCTCCTCGTGAGCCTGAAAAGACTCTCTCAGTGCCCTCACCAGAGAGCTCAGCCCCCGCAGCTGTGGCAGGGGCATCTCTCTCACCTCTGGTCCTGCCCAGTCACTTTGACCAAGCAGCAGCTCCTCCCCTTTGCTCTTGTTGCACTGACCATACAGTTCAGTGCCCCGGACCACCAACCTCCCAGTGGATCCCACTACCATGACCTCATGCACAAACGAGCCCGGCATGTTAAAATTCAGCGTCACAGTGCAACACACGCCCCCAGATCTGGATCCAGCCCCTCCAATCAACATCTGGAAGAAACAAAAGTCGTCGCTGGTGACGTGACGAATGCCTCGGATTAGGTTGTTTTGTTGCACAAAGGTTCTTAGCAAGCCGTGCACACGGTGGGCTCGGGCATCAGTCAGGTAACTCAAGAGGTCGATGATGGCAGAGCCGACTGTGTGCAGCCCGCCCCCTCCCATCAGCTCCTCGCAGGTCCAGCCGTACGACTGGTCCAGCAGGCTGGGACCATAGACACGAACGTCGCACACCTGCACTTCACCAACGTATCCCTCCAACAGCAGCTGACGCATCGCCACAAAAGCCGGCAGGAAGCGAAGGGTATTACCCATAATGCTCAGCAGTTGGGGGTAGTATCGAGCTGCAGTCACCATCTTGAAAGAATCTAGAACAGTTGCAGCTTTCTCACACACAACATTCTTCCCAATACCTGCATGAGGAGGGGGAGAGGGAGGGGAGGTCCACAAAAATATACATTATAAACTGATGAATCCAGCACAGAGATGGAGGAGAGATTTAAAGAAGAAATGCACACATGATCTAAATATTTACAGAACCAGCAGAAAGATTAAATAATGTGCTGTCTGGTTAATGTTAGATTAGATTATCACATCTGCAGATTAGAGAAGCAGTTAGCTGCTGTGGCTGCAGCTCAGGGTGTGTGTGTGTGTGTGTTATCTCTGAGATCAGCAGCCTTCTGATCCCACAGAAAATGACTGCGGACATTCAGCCTTTGTGTTTGGATAAAGGCAGCTAGCGCAGCTAAAACAGGAAACTGAAGTCAATGCTCAGGAATTCAATCAGATACAGAGGCAAATATGTCCTTCCATACACAACCGGTGTCGGCGACTAGAGTATTTTCTCCAGTACATGTAGTATTTTAAGATGATTTATCTCTGATTTCCTTCTTGTTTTTATTTAAAAAATGTCCATTCCTTTAAAATGAACCTTGTGGTTGAGACCACAAAATGTAAAATGTTTTTTCTCCAGACCCTGACTCCTGGACTAATAGTTAAAGTCTCACAGTCCATAACAGAAGGTAATGGTACATACAGTCTGACATTGATTTGCTTCTGTATTTTTTGTACTTAATTTGACAGCTTTCTTACCCAGTGCTTTTACAGCAATCTGCCTCGTCATCGACGGTGGAACGTAGATGCAAACCAGGTCAACGTCCTGGTGCAACAAAACATCATCCGAGTGGCTGGTATGAAAGGGGACCCCCAGTTCCTTGGCCAAATGGGATGCTTCCTCATCACTTGGAGCCCACAGAGCATGGACCTCAAAACCTTCAGCTTTTAACAACGGGACCAGAACCCGCGCCGTACTCCCTGTGCCAAAAACACCGACTCCTGGCAACATGGCAGAGCCAAAGGCAGAGTGAGCTTATGTTCGAACCATGGCCAGATTCTCTGACATCATTGTTGTCTGTAATCCACTTATCACTGAGCAGGCTCACCTGTAAAACACACAAACTGACAGTTAAATTTACCAACCTGACACAGTGAACCTGAACACAGCCAAACCCCAACCACAGCATCAACATAACCAGTACAGTTCATAGACCACAGTACGTCCACACCGTCTGTAGCCACTGACTTATCAGTAACTCTCAGATATGGGACAATGATTTTTTTTTTTACAAAATTCAAGTTAGAATTGTTTTAAATATCACACTATTTTTTAAACCAAAACAACATCTCTAGCAGCAGTGTCGGTGGAGTGAGCATCAAAACCTCAGGTAAAAAGTGGTCCAAATATTAACTGGCTTCATCTCTACTGAGGAAGTGGTCATTTCCATCTGTTCTTCCTGTGGTGTAACAGGTAAAACGACAATACCCCGTCCACATCTCTACTTCCCTATCATTATGTGATATAGTACTTTAATCATAAAGAATTAAAATGTCACTTATTTTTGGTTCTTCGTTTAATTAATTCGGTGATAGAATGAAACGTAAAGAATCGCTTGTTCGACCATGGTGTGGTTACAGACGATACACGAGTGACACAAGCAAATAAACCACGAAAAGGTGATCAAGCGCATGAAGCCACAGTAGTCTAACCTAACGTTGCGACCAGGGGTCGGATCTTTGGAACATATCACCGTTGGACTTTTACTAAGTTAAGAATTCATACACGTCAGTCACATAGCCCAGATCCTTCCTGTTGCTGCTGCTACACACTGAATATGCTGATATCGTTAGCTAGTCGTTAGCCAGGAAGCTAACTGGGCAGGGTAATGTAAATCACAGAACCAATACTTCCATGTATTTTACACACCCATTAATACAACAATTAACACCGTGCGTTACCTACTGTGTAGCCGGATGTCAACAGTCAGTTGCGGTGTTTAGTTGGGCGCTGGCCTCTCTCCATTGGTTAATTCACAGGAGCTATTTGTCAATATGAAGAAGCCGGAGTCTAGGGTTTCGTCACCGCGCAACACGAACGTCTTCTTCTTGCAGATTTTGATGACCTGATGATGATTGCTAATAGGCTGCCCTCTTCAGGTTGTTTGGAGTCACGACAAGTCACTCCAACTTCACAATCTTGTAATGCTGTCAAAACGTAATGCTGTTAAAATGTAAACAGCAGAAATATTGAAACAACTTGATTAATAGTTCGGTCTAAATAAATATCTATGCTGATATCCTAGAAATATTTCGATATATTTTTTAGATTGAACAGATTTTAATAATAATCAAGATGTCTTTTGACATTGTTTCTGCATATGTATCTATATAATGTATGTTGAACGAACTTGCTGTACATGAGGGAATCATATTTTTAGGTGCTTACAAAATAATAATAATAAAATAAATAAAAATAATAATGCAGATAGTTGGAGTCAAAGTAGAAGATGCAGAGAAGACGGCAATATGGAAATCAATGATTCGCTGTGGCAACCCCTGAAAAAAGGGACAAAGCCGAAAGAAAAAGAATAAGTGCTTACAAAATAATGGTGGTAGATAAAATAAAGAAGTGGAGATTAGAGACGGCAATTTGTCTGTCATACAAGTTACCACAACTTTTTAATGGCTAAGGCTGATAGTCTTGTAATCCTATTAGGGATAGTTTTTCCTATCGGTATATTGCACTTTTCTATTGTGGGCAACACAGATAGGAATTTGGACGACCATATTTTTTTTAGACCAGTGTAGTGTTGGAATATTGGTCTGTTATCGGACCAAACATGTTCGCTGGTCTTAAGTAGCTGCACATCACCGGAGGTAAAAGGTAATTAACACAGAAACAAAAATTATTTGTCTCGGTAAACCAAGGTAAGACTACTTTCAACAAGAGAACTTTCAACAGCAGTGAATTAAGGTGGGAAAGATCTACCTGTTTATGCAGCACTACTTTTGTGTACATCCGACATAAATGGCAGAAACCATTTAACTCCTTTCGACAACATTTTTAAATATACCTCACATAAATTCTCCAATATCAACTGGGTGAGTTTCAAATTGTCAGGGAGAAGTGCCTTTCATCAGTGACCCAACGGACGACAAGGGCTGCGTATTAGTGGGATCTATTTTCTATGGGATGGCTGTGCTGCGCCTTCCTCTCCCTCTGTCCTGTGTGAAGCCGCCATCTTGAATTTTAATGTTAATTTCTTTAAAAATGTGTTAGATGTGATATTTGTGCTTGGAGTTTGGTGCCAATTCTTCGACCACTGCGAAATGATGCTGTTTGCTTTCGTAAGCATTTGAAAGGATCACCCAGTGAGTACCGTATACGTTTATTGTGTGTCTGTTGTCGACTCGGGACATTTAATGCCATCAACGCGTGAAAACGCTATGAGCGTAGTGCACTGTAAGCTGTCGTTGATAATATCATTAACCACACGAAACAGTACATCAGAAGTTCTTGATAAATATCCACAGAGGAGCACGGCCAGCGTACAATAGGCAAAGTGGAAAATTAAATGGTAAATAAACAGAGATTTCGGTTGCTAACTTGGCTAATGACTTCCATATCAAGGCTAACACACCTAGCGCAGTGTTAGCCGCTGATCCTCGCCGATCCAACGGTAGGTTGCTCGCGTTTGGCTTTGATTCCCCTCATAAATATGTGTGCAGCGTCGAGTTGACAAATAAGTAGTGAAATTCATCTTGATCTGCAAACATACAACTTGGATGTACGTTCACTGACCGTTGTGGTGTTAAAGGTCCCGTGCTAACCGAGTTAGCAATCAGATGTACTTAAGTTTGGTTTAAGCTACAACAGAAAGAAAATATTACGGTGAGATACGTTAGTGTGTTTGTTTTTGTGTATTAAGACTGCTATTTTGGGTTTAATGTACGCTGTTGGTTCGTATACAACATGTATTATGTACCGCTCGAGATTTGGTGTTGGTGCGTTATGGAGAAATTGTATGTATAAACACCGCATTCACATAATGCTGCGCCTCTGTCTGTGTAATGCATGTGTATTTACTGACATTTTGGTACAGTCAGTGAGGATACATTGATGCCACATTACCCGGAGTTTGTGGTAGGTTAACCTTAACCGCATCACTCTTTAGCTTGGGCTAGCAGCTCCGTGCTAGCGCAGCAAATGTGTTGAGAGGTGGCAGTTTTTGACAAACAATGGGAACTGCTCTGAGAAGTCGTACTATCTCGGCCTTATCTGAGTATGTGGCCTTCACTTGTCCGACATCCTCCCTGGATGTGCGGCATGTAGTCTTAACCTAGGCTAACGTTAGCCTCCGAGACATAATGAAAAGTATTTATGCATCTAGTACCAACAGAAATATTTTTGCGCTTTGTAAATCGCAGCTGAAACGAAGACGGTGTAAAATCAGCACAGCTGTGTTCAATTCATGTAGTCACGACGAAAACCTATTTACTTGGTTATTTACCCCATTAAGAGCACACACAGGGGCTTTTAACGTATGAGCAAAGGAAGACTGTTGCACTTGACAGCAAAGCGCTGTACGTTCAGTGGTTACCACAGGGAGGCGCTGCAGGCGCGTAAGTACAGTTTCCTCAGCGTTGCTATGTATCTACATGTGTTTACAAAACTCAACACGGCTGGATCACCTCAGTGATGCTTTGGTTGTTTAATAGCGACCTCTATCGACATTTAGTGTGGTACACTCACCAGGCAATCGATTTGTGATTTTTTTTTTTCATTTACCTAAAGTCAAAATCTAGTTGAACCAGAAGTTTATTTACTGTGTTGAGACAGACTCACGTTGGTAATAATAACGATGAACGCAAAGTTACAAAATATATTTATTGTATACGTTTGAATTCTTTCTTCATTTATTTCAGAATAAAGCAGCACAGTGTCGTTCCTTAGTGAGATGGAACTGTGTTGTAAATCAACACAAAGTCCTTCAGTTATACCAATAAGACAAATTATTGGTGTCTTTAAATCCATCAACTCCTGAGCATGTTTTGGTAACAATGTGTGTTAGTCCTGGTCGTCATTCACAGTCAACACATTTAAATGTTCTCCTTTGTTCGATTGATTCCAAGTTTTTGTTCAATGTAATAAAGTCATGTTTGCAGAGGCAGCCATTTGGCTCAATGTTTAGGGTTAAATTATATATATTAACACAATTATGTTATTCTGAAATGTCTGACATAACCAGGAAATCATTTCAAAACATGCCTGGACTTCAGTGGTGATCGGAAAGTATTTTTAGGATAATTTACAAGTTTATTTAGTCAGTTTTATCAACCATTATATTATGCCAAGTGTCTAGTTATTTGATTTTTTTCATTGTACTTCAAGGTATCAAACTTCAGGCTGAAGTCTTCCCCACGTAAGTTTTTCCATCAACTCTGAGACTAAATGCAACTGGACCAGGGGGCTTGTGGGCATGAAGTGGCTTGGCGAATCCAAGAACATGGTATTAAATGGCAGACGACACAGAAACAAGTTGACAAGCGAGCAAACTGCAAACCAGAGCCAGACTCGCTCCCAGCATTCCCAACGAATGTCCCTGCGGCACAACAAAGCACACCCCCGAAACAGACGATGTTCCCGCAGTGAGTGAAGCCCATGCAGTGGTTTAAAAAAAAAAAAGGTTTCTGCACATCAACTTAACACAACGTCATGTTTGTGTCTGATATGTCCAGGGTTTAATGGAGCCAGTCTGGAGGGAGAGAGGCGCTACGTGCCCTCCTCAGGAATGAGTGCCAAGGAGTTGTGTGAGAATGATGATCTTACAACCAGCCTCATCCTGGACCCCTACCTGGGCTTTCAAACACATAAAATGAACACCAGGTCAGCATGTATTCATCAGAGGGTCTTTAATCCTTTTTTATCCTAATATTCATCATTTTTACCTCAGCAATATGTTCTTTGCTTTAGGTTTCGACCAGTTAAGGGGCGACAGGAGGAGCTGAAGGAAATCATCGAGCACTTCAAGAAACACGACAACCTGGAGAAAGCCTTCAGAGCTTTGACTACAGGCGACTGGTCCAGAAATCTGTTTCTTCATAAGACGAAAGCTCAAGAAAAACTCTTCAAGCAGCATGTAAAAAAAAAAAAACTGAAGTCAACTTTTCTTCCAGGCAGCGCCACCTATTGTCCAACACTGATCACCTCTGTTTCTGCAGGTGTTTGTGTATCTGCGCATGTTTGCCACAGACAGTGGCTTCGAGATTCTCCCCTGTAATCGATATTCGTCTGAACAAAATGGAGCTAAAATTGTGGCAACCAAGGAATGGTGAGAACAAATGGACATTTATGACGGCAGCTAATCTGTTACTATATTGTTAATCAAACTGAACTAGTCACACTCATGTCACTGAAATATCAGAGTTTCACTGAACTCAGTTGATGAGCCAGGGAAGAATTTGAGTTAAATTTAAGAAATATTCACAGACAACTGTTAGACACAACTGTGCTGTAGGTTCTGCTCCATGTCCATGAAACACTGTAGGAAACAGTTAGACTGCTGCTCTGTGAAAACCTCACAGTAACAACAGCAATGCTGGCTTTTAGCACCCAATAAAATGAACACCAAATGGAAGTGTATAAACCATGCTGTACCTGTGGCACATTTTCTTTTTCTTTTCTTTTCTTTATTTCATTGATCAAATGGACGTGGTCGTCAGTGCTGGTTATGTCTTGGTCTTTGCTCTCTGACCCTAAGTGGGAAGCAGTGAGTCTCATCTAAGTTGTCTGTATCCAAGTTGGTGTAGATGTTATGGGGTAGGATTTTTGTTCAGTGGGTAAAATGACTTTTCTCTGACATTCACACTGATTAAAAAACCCTGGCGTAAACCTTTTATATGTCTTATTTGATGTTCACATGTGTGTTTTTGTTTTTTTTTTCACGGAGCCCTAAAGAACTCACACCACATTCACTGTCTTACAGGAAAAGAAACGATAAGATCGAGTTTTTGGTAGGCTGCATCGCAGAGTTGTCAGACGTCGAGGAGAAACTTCTGCTGCGTCACGGCGAGAACGACTTCAGCGTCATGTACTCCACCCGTAAAAACTGTGCACAGCTGTGGTTGGGGCCCGCCGCCTTCATCAATCATGGTAATGTTTAATGGAACTTTTGGCTACGTTCTGTGACCGATGTCTGTGACCCTGACTGACCGATCTGTCACGACTTTGTTTTTTAGATTGTCGTCCAAACTGTAAGGTATGTTACTTCAACAAAATAAAACGTTTGATAAACTTTTCAACCCAATGGTTGAGAAGGTTGTTCTGTGATTGGCCCCCACGGTCTCTGACGGGTCTGTGCTTTGTTCCCAGTTTGTGTCAACAGGTCGTGACACTGCCTGTGTGAAGGTCCTGAGGGACATCGAACCTGGAGAAGAAATCTCCTGTTATTATGGAGATGGATTTTTTGGAGAAAACAATGAATATTGTGAATGCTACACATGTGAACGGTAAATGATATTTAAATAAACAGAGTTCAGTGAGAGGGAAACATCAGATTTGGTTCAGACACAAGTAACAGATTCAGAAATGAAAAAAAAAATTCCAAACGAAGTTCAAAAGTTGTAATAATTCCTGACCTAAGTTCCAGTGTTAAAGCATCAGTGCAGCTTGTAGACCATCGGTGTCTGCAGACGTTTATGTTTGGAGTAATTACGTCCACATGGTTAATTTTCTATTCTGTTACCACCTTTTATGACAAGTGGAGGTGGGCCACACTGGTCTCCCTCTGTGGGTGTTTTTTCTTTTCCTCCCACTGGTTTGGGGACCGTGTTAATTGTTCACTTTTGTTAAGGTCTAAACAGCTGTGATTGGCTCTTTGCTGAATGACTGTATATGGATATGTTTGTCCTGAGCAGACGGGGCACCGGTGCTTTCAAATCCAAGGCTGGGCTGCCAGTGGAGGTGCCAGTGATCAACAGCAAATACGGGCTCCGGGAAACAGACAAGCGTCTGAACCGACTGAAGAAACTTGGGGAAGGGAACCGAAGCTCAGACAGTCACTCTGTAGGCTCGCACACTGACGTGGACTCTCAGGAAATGCCAAAAACACATCAATGTAAGAGTTGGAGACGTTTGTTTAGAAGTTTGAGAGAGAAAAAACAGCACGTCAACATTTATGACAAAGAAATGAAGAGTTCTGTGAGGACGTTCTGTCATCACACTGAAAACCAACTGTTTAGAACTTATTCTAACTTATTGAATTACTTTCCATGTTGAAGTGATTTTTCTAACTGCATTTAGTAACTGCATTAAATGAATTATTTTTGTTGACATTGCTTTAAAATATTTGAGTTTATTCTGTGTTGATCCCCCCTCGCTGCCAAACATGAGCTTTTATAACGTTTTTTTTTTTTTAAGTCTATGAACCAAGACTGCAGTAAAAGAGTTAAATGTGATTCAGGCTAATGAATCATCATAATGAAGAACTTAATGGAATTATCTGTAACTAGATTAAGGAGAAACTCCTATTTTAATAACTTGTGGTTTGTTATCATCTGCTAAAATCTCTCAGACAATGATTTTGTTTCTCTTTCTCCAGCTGCCAGAAATAGAGCATCATCATCATCACCATCTTCATCTGAGCTGAAGTACAAAAACCGGACTCCCAGTAGACAGACTTTGTCCAGAGCCCTTTCTACCTCATGTTCAAAACAAGGCCGCCTACACAACAGCAGGGTACCAAAGAGACTAAAATCCCAAACCAAGCCTTCACTTAATAAAGTCCAGTTGAGGTGTCGACGAAGGGCTGCTGTGACCAAGGTGTGGGCCAAAGGGGAGACTTGCCAGCTGGGTCTCAGGGACTCAAAGGTGTCACTTTGTAAAAGTGTCAACATCAAAACGGAGAAGGACGGACAGGAGCTGGTGCAGCAGGCCCTGGGTCAGCGGGGCTGCCTCACTCGTCACGCCATCAAGGAGAATCTTTTAGCTGTGCAAACTAGCGAAGGTAGCCAATGTTCCACATACAGAACTCGCAGGTCCACCAGGACCTTGTTGAAAACCAGGGAAACAGGAGCTAGCGTCAGGTTAAAGCCCAGCTTGAGTCCGGTCCCAGGTGGGGTGGTGATTAAGACGGAGCCTGCTGACATGGAGGAGTACCTCCCTCACAGTGCTGGCTCCTCTAAGTCAATGTTGGACTCTGGCTTTGCTAGAAGGGGCACCTGCACCAGGCGTAAGCGGCCGTCGCGGCTAAGGGCCGAACAAACTATTAAACACGAAGGCTCGTACGGCGAGACCTTCGTGCCCGTGGCTGCCGGCCTCGCGGCTAACCACGCTGACTGTGAGAAGATGCTGTTTGGCTTTGCAGAGAGACACCGGGACTACAATGTGCTGGCCAATGGCAGCAAGTCCCTGAGGCGGGACAAGGGTAAGAGTGGCTGTCGGTCACAGGAGAAGGGGAAGAAGAAGCGACAGATCACACGCTATGACGCCCAGTTGATCCTGGAAAACAACACGCCAAACAGCATCCCCAAACTCACGCTGCGCCGGCGGAGGGACAGCAGCAGCAGCAGTAAGACCAACGACCCCTACGACCCTTTCGTCTCCTCCAACCTTTCTGCTTCCACCGTTAACTCCGCCTCTTCCAGCAAAATCAGCATTAAGTTCAGCAAGGACCACGACAAAGACAAAGGCAGCTCGTACATAGCCAAGCTGAACAACGGCTTCACTCCAGTGGGCCACGGCAACGCAACCAAGCTGAAGATCCAGCTGAAGAGAGAGGACGATGCCCGAAGGTTGTCCCAGAGCAGGGCGGAGCAGATGTCCTACAACAGGGACGTGGCCCAGAGTCTGGAGGCCAGGAACGGGGGACATCGGACCCAGAATGTCCTGGCGGAGGCTTCGTCGGACGAGGACAATGAGACCGGGGACGACGATGACGACTATTTTGACAATGACTTTGAAGATGATTTCATTCCACTTCCTCCCGCAAAGCGGCTCCGACTCATCGTGGGCAAAGACTCCATAGACATTGATATCTCCTCCAGGAGGAGAGAGGATCAGTCTCTGAGGCTCAATGCATAAGCTGTGGAGCAGTGGCTTCACCTCCAGCTGTAAATACCTTCCACTCACACATCAACTGTGCTTTTATTTGTACATGGGGAAAAAGTAATTTAAAAAAACAGAAGTGCTGAAAAATCAAGAATCTGAGAGAACGTCACTGGAGGGTCCTGTTAGCTAACACAAATCTGTTATTCTGAATTCTGTTCTGTTCCGTTGACTAAACTCTCCAAACTCCACTCCTCACAGCGCTCAAGTCAAATCTGCCTCTTTGTTTTTGGTTCCATGTAAAAATGAGAATTTAAGTTGAAACGTTCCTTTCAGCAGAAGCACTTGTTGTATTCATGAAATACTTGGAAATATCATGTAGAAAGTGTACAGTGGACATACCATTTCTGTCTCATAGGCAGGTCGTCTTTTTCTTTTTTTAATGTCTCAGTTTGTGGATTTCATATTGAACCATGAGGAACACGTGCTCTGTCGTGTCGTGGTGACATTAAAAGGCAGCCATGTTAGCATCACCTCCCCTCTCTCCCCCCTTCATTGTTAGCTTCCTGCTGTTGTCTCAGTCCAAGTCAGTCCTGTGGAATTGTTGGTCCATATTGAAGCAGGAAACATCCCGTTGACCACGGTCTGTGCTGCAGGTCACCAGGTGTTACTACAGGTACTGAAGAAACCAGCTGACCACCTCTGGTCCAGTCAAGATTTCAAATAGAACGTACAGAAAGACCACACTGTGGATCAGTGGATCGTGTTTATAGTTCAGACCTCAGTGGGGACCCGTCCTCACATTTTAGAGAACATTCATCAAATGTTCAAATGCCCCCCCAACCATCCAAGGGTGTCCATTGGCCTTTATTTAAGTCCTTGTAAAGTCAACAAAAGGTCAAGAATTCTTTATTGTTGTCACACAGTGACGATGACAGAAAAACTGTCGCCACAGAAATACTTATAAAACATTACTGCAAATAAAACATTTGACAACAGTGACATCACACTTGACCTGAAACTTTTGAATTTGACCTTAGAAATGAACAACAGAGGGGTCTGAATGAGAATCAGTTGGATGAGTTAGCGGGTCAGTGTAAAGTCAAAACAACCACTGACATGGTCACTGACGTGGTCACTGACACGGTCACTGTGAGTATTTCTGTACACTGTTTGATGTCATGTGGACTCCTGTAATCCAGCCCACACTTTAGAAAACATCAGAACTTATTTTAATCAACAGTTCTGATGTTCTAACCTCTTCATATCTCCCCCCCCCTCCCCCCCCGTGCTTCAACAGTCAATGTCCAGGCTTATGATTGATTCAGAATTGGAATAGTTCTGGGACGTTCCAGTGTTGACTGGGTGGTGGGAAAGAACCTGTCAAAGAAAAGGGTGATGCATATATTGTCCGATATGTAAATCACGTGAACACATCTTGTACTTATTTAACAGTTTGGAATACTTGAAAAAACTCTATATAAAGTTTCTTTGTGACTCTTGTTTCCTGAGCTCTGTTCAACACTCTGTTGTGGTCCAACTGTTGGCTCTGGCTCTCCATGTTTGTGAAATATTTTTTTAAATAAAATGAAGCTGCCCAGAGCCAAAACAATTTGCCAAATTTAATTTAACAAAAACGAATTAAAAGTATGAATCTCATTATATAAACCTTGAAATCAAAATATGGATTGACAGCTAGATATAGATATTACATATATATTTATATGTGTGTATATATATATGCACTGTATATATGTGTGCGTATATAATTTAATACAACTTCTACCATACCTAGCCTTATAGTTATCACCCGGTGGACTTACCCCAGGGTACATTTGAATGTGAAACATCGTTTTTACCATGACTTTGATAGTACATGAGAGCAGCACAAGGATTTAAATGACCACGATATGACGCACAATTGTGAGCCAATCAGACACCTCTCGTCAACATGGGCGTCCAATCAGCTTCGACGGTGGGCTATTTGAAAGACTGCTTCCCTGTGTACACATAATGCACATGTATTCTCTGCAGTTGTTTGGATAAACGACTCCCTTCGTCTGTTTTTAACTGTTTTGTTTTTAGCTCTCACGTTTGTTTTTACTGGAAATGGCGTCTTTGGATGTTCGTTCTACGGTGAGTAACCTCACGGTGAAACCAACTCTCACCTGTTTGTGTGAGTCGTGTGTTGTTTACGGCTCCTTCTGTACCTATTCTGCAGCGGCTGCTAGGCGCAGAGAACCCGGTGACGAAGGGTAAACCAACAGCAGCTGACTCAAAGAGGAAAACTGTTCTGGCAGAGCTCAGTAACTGTGCTGTAGCCGCGGTGAATACGAAGGTGAGGACACGAGGGAGTTTTGGAGATTGACCTTTATTTCCCAAAAGCTAAGGCAGATTAGCGTTAGTGGTGACTCTGCGTGCTAACCGCTAGTTAGCACGCAAGCCGACTTTGCTTGTGTTAAACTGGCACTTCGGAACTGTAAAACGTTACAATAACTGTATTTGGTATAGTACGAGGTCAACTTAACAATTACTAAATGTTGACAAATACACGTAATCGTTCGGTGGTTGAATAAGCAGAATAACTACGACCACCAGAGGGCCCCAGTGCATTTTCAATGCGACGTCGAACATTAACATGAACATTAAATCATCTTTCCTTCAACCACTGGAGCACGTACCAGTACCGTTTAATGTGGTGCTAACACATTGACCAAATGAGTCTTTTTAAAGTCAGTCTTCTTTGAAAACTTCAAACATTTGTTTCTGTGTCACTTTATTTTATCTCGTGTATCCAACCCAACCATGTCCATTGATAATACTGTCTTTCATCAAACGACCGATCTTAACTTTGTTTTTCCCGCCGGGACGACCAGTCCATCGGGCTGTAGTTTTGACATGACCGTTTTTTCTTCTTCAGAGAAGAGGTGCAGCCAAAGCCTCAGCCAAACCGTCATGTGGTCAGAAAGTCGTATCAGCTGTGGTCCAGATCAAAGTGCCTGGGGATCCTGTCCCTTCAGTTCCAGAGGAGCGGGAGGAGGAGGAGGTCGACATGACCATAAACGAGAAGCAGCTGTGCCAGGCCTTCTCTCAGGCGCTGCTTGACCTGCAGGACGTGGACGAGCAGGACGCTGAAGATCAATACCTGTGTTCAGAATACGTCAAGGAGATCTACAAATACCTGCATGAGCTGGAGGTGAGTTGTCTGTGCTCTGCCAGCAGGTGATGCTGTAGTATCTTGGAACTAAAGTTTGTTTTGATCAACCTGTGATGTGTCTGAAGTTCTCTGGTTCTACCCATAGTTGACCAGAACATGGTCTAAACTAATCCTTGTTCTTGGGAATTGTTGTCCAGCGTTTGAAATACATTGTTGCTTTTGTGAACATCTTTTCTTGATCTGCAGGTTCAGCACCCCATAAAGGCCAACTACATGCAGGGCTATGACATCACACCAAAGATGCGGGCTCTTCTGGTGGATTGGTTGGTTCAGGTTCACCTTCGGTTCCAGCTGCTGCAGGAGACTCTGTACCTCACGGTTGCCGTCCTGGATCGCTTCCTGCAGGTAGCTAACCTTCAGTCACCTGTGACTGTTTTATCATCAATTTTTGTTATTTAAAAAAAAAAGTTCATGTCTGCAGGTCCAACCAGTCTCTCGCAGGAAGCTGCAGCTGGTTGGCATCACGGCGATGCTGGTGGCTTGTAAATATGAGGAGATGTTCGCTCCCATGGTGGGAGACTTTGCCTACCTCACAGACAGCGCCTACACCGTGCCTCAGATTTTGAAGATGGAGCAGATCATCCTGCAGACGCTGTCCTTCCAGCTGGGACGACCCCTGCCACTGCACTTCCTCAGACGGGCCTCTAAGGTCGCCCAGGTGTGTTGTCTGTTAGTTGATTAGTCTCAATTAAGACTAAGGTCAGATGTGAAGTGGTGGAGGTCAAAGGCCACTCCAGCCACCCTATTACAAAGCTGTGATTGTACCAGTACTGACCGGTGTGACGTGTTTGTCTCCGCCAGTCCAACGATGAGAAGTACACTCTGTCCAAGTACCTGATGGAGCTGACCCTCCTGGACTTCAACATGGTCCACTACCGCCCCTCTGAGGTGGCTGCTGCCTCCATGTGTCTCTCCCAGCTTCTGCTGGAACAGCTGCCGTGGGTGAGTGTGTCTCCAACAATGAGCAACAAACACACTGCTGATGGATTTGTCTTTTGATGGTGGAACCTGTGGCATGTTCTCCAGTCTCCTCTACAGCAGCATTACTCCACCTATGACATGGGTCACCTGAAACCTATCATGCAACACATCGCCAAGAACGTAGTGATGGTGAACGAAAGAAAATCAGAATTCCTGGTGAGTTGTTTGTGTAGGTGCTCGGTTATCAAGGTCATCTTTTCCAAAAGTAGGTTTTTTTTTAAAGATTGTTCACCTCTCATCCAAGAGGCTGAACTAAAGAAGCCAAAAAAAAAAACAACTACTAATTAGCTTAGTTGCTAACAAACCATATCCCTATCTTGTCCTGGTGTGAACGTGCATCCAGAGCCCTCTGCTGGAGAACCCGATATTTGCAGTCTTCTACATAGTTGAACATGGTTTTCACTTTAGAATGTAAACTTTTAATAACCTGTAAATAACTTTTTATTTTTCTACCCGGTTGTTTGCAGGCTGTGACAAAGAAATACTCCAGGCCGGAGTTCCTGAAGATCAGTCTGCTCTCTCAGCTGAAGTCTTCAGTCATCAGGAACATGGCGGCTCCTTTGCTTAGCAACAACCCCTGAGTGGCCTTAACATTTCTAACATGAACTTCTCACTTGCACTTTACTTTGAATCAGCCCCCCCCTTCAGTGTGTTGACATTAAAAGTTGTTTTTTAAATTAAGGCTTGTGTGTTGATCAGTTGTTTCTTTTTAAATGTTTTCCTACTTAAGTCTTGACTTGTTTATGGACTTTTTTTTTTTTTAATGAGGAATTTATCATTCTATGACTATGCTGCCACCCACTGGCCGAAGGATAACGGCTTAAACAGATGGGACGTGTTAACCCCACATTCCAGTCGAATATGCGATAGCAACGAGGTACTTCTTTTCTATGACAACAATAGTTGTTTGTGAAAAATAAGTCGCAAAAAAGCCTTCAAATCAAACAAGTTTCTGTTTAATAAGCAGACATTTTAACTTCTCACTCACAAACAACCGGTGGCTGGAACCGGAAAAAGTAAGCTCCTATTTAGTTTTTCTTCACACAAAAAGACACACAGGAAGTCCAACCAAGTTTTCAGTGTAAGAGCACACTTCTTTCCGATAATTATTCCACTAGTTTTGCCTTTATTTCTTACAGCGTGTTTCACCTCATCGTACAACTCCCCGAGGAACCGCCGTGACGTAAGAAACGCAGCTGCCATCCATTTACTCGTCGGTCATTCTTTAGAGACCGCCGTGCGACCTGTCTGGGTGTAGCCGTGTCTTTCCATCCTGGCTTCACGTACGTGTAACCAATTAATCCAAGATGTGCGGATCAGTACAGGAGAAGCCGCGGTACCTCAGCTATCCTGGAACTCAGGTGAGTTTAGATTCAAGCACACTCAACCATTATAACATTATTGGAGGCATTACAGCTAAAATATGCGAAAAACAGCAGTCTCGCCTCAACTTCTGGTTTTCTTATTCAACTTTAACTTCATTTACTTGAATAAATAAATAAATGTTGATCGTATAATTTTATTCTAATGTGGTTTTTCCATAGTTTTGTCTGTGGTCTAGGCTGGACACCAATGGTCTGGAGGATTCATCAACACTCTCCCCTTCTGTATCATCAGCATATATTTAATCTATGCTCTAAATTCTCACATGTCTTTGGAGTATCATCTCTTAAGCCAGAATCTTAATCCAGAAAATCTCTTCTTGGTCTCTTGTTTTTGATTCTTCTTTGAAGGTTTCTGGTCATTCCTAAAAACCACCAGCCAACCATCAAGATCAAGCTATTCACTCCACCATCACCGTAACGGAGACCAGCAACCAGTGGAACAGCCCACTGGTGGAACCACCCACTGGTGGAACAGCCCACTGGTGGAACAGCCCACTGGTGGAACAGCCCACTTGTTAGCTAATTAGCATCATGGACCGATGCATGTCCTCAGTCCTGACAGGTGCACACAGGGGTGGACCAGTCCTCTATAGAGATGGGGGATGATGCAGACGTCCTCGGTGTTTGGGGAGATGATGCCTTGGAGTCCACAAGGTCATCAGCAGATGGAGGTCTCTCCTCCTTGGACCAGGGGCCCAGACTGGGCCTGGTCTGGTTTCCTTGTTGACTCCTTTTCAGATCATCGATCTCCTTGACTTGTTCGTTGATCAGTTTGATGAATTGGCCTCGCTCATTGTCAAACTTTGTCACCATGTTTTCCAGTCTCTTCTCCAGGTTTGCTTTAGCCCTGCGAGTATTTTCAAGGATGAGATCACTACCAGGGGCAGGAGGTAGAGGTTTGGCTTCTTTTGTCGCCACACTTGTAGTGGTCATGGACGTGCTGCATTTGCTGTTGGCTTCCTGTGACGCCAGGTTTATCTGGATTATTTGGGCTCTCAACTCTTTGGGTTTCTCAATGACCATCATGCAGCGCTCTAAATCTATAATGATGTGCTTCACCTGGGCCTCCAGGATTCGGAACTCATTCCTGTAGTTGACAAGATCTCGTTCACTAACCTGCAGTTTATTAGTGAGGAACTCGATTTCTCTGTTGAGTTCCGTGTTGTTGTTCCTCTCATCGTGTACCATTTCCATGGCTTCCTCCTCTTTCCACAAAGCCTGAAGCTTTTCGTCCTCTAAACGTGCGTTCTTTTTCAGCAGCTCATTGGCCGCAGCATGAACGGTCACATTTGTGTCCGTTATCCGTTTGACCTGAGCCTGCAGGTCTCTAACTGCAGGTTTCAAGTGACTGGACTGCTGGACCTTGTTTTTAAGAGCCACATTTTTCTCGTTGAGTCTGTGATGCAGATTGACCAACTCATTAAACTTCACCCTTGACGCTCGGATCGCATCTTTGTGGTCGCGGATCTGATTTTTTAGTCCAATGATCGATTCCTCATACTTGGTACAGATTCTCTTTTCTCTCTGGAGCTCCTTCTCTTTCCTCACCGTCTCTTGGCCGAGTTCCTTTATCAGCGATTCATTCCTCAGTATGGTCATCTTCAGACCGCGGATGTCTTCGTTCAGGCGCGTCACTTCAGTTTCCAGGCGGTGCTTCGTCTCAAAGTAGCATCGCTCCGATTTATTTGTTTTCATCTTCCATTCATCCACGTTGAGTTTAAGGCTCTCCACTGTGTGGTTCAGGGTCTCAATTTCTGCCAGCGCCACCTTGAGATGGCCGTGGGTTTCTGCCAACTCTTTCTTAATGACGTGCTGTATTTCTGAATATCGCAGAACGCTTTTCTCCAGACGAGTTTTGCAATGGTTGAGTTTTTCGTTTGTCTCTTTGCTCTCGTTCAAGGCTTCGCTCAGCCCCTCCTCCCTGCTCCTCACTTCTTTCATCTCCTTCTGCATAGAGTCGACCTTCTCCTCCAGGGTCTTGATGAACTCGATCTTGTCAGAGACTCTGTCTCCCCACAGCTCGGTGCTGTACTCATGCTGGTGCCTCAGCTGGTCCAGCTGCCACTTGATGTAGGGAAGAGAATCTTCGTCTTTGCTTATGTTCTGCATCATTGCGCAGAAAACCATTTCAATATCCGAAGATTAAAAAGTCAAACTTTTCATGAAGAATGTGACCCTCTGCACAGATATGTTCAAGAAGTGACATCACTTCCTTTCATGTTGCCCCTCCTGCCCTGGCATTGCCTCAGATTCCACGGTGATGTCACTGAAGTTGAGCATAATTGGTTGTGACATCATCAAACAGGCTATATCGTTCTTCACGTGCTGCTGAAGAGTAATAGGAAAACTTTCTGAAGATTCTGAAAACAGCGCCACCTGTTATATATTTGGTCAAGGAATAATACGAAAAACAAAATTGTCACAAAAAGTATACGTAATGAAATATATGTACTTACTGTGTGAAACCTGTTTAGTTGAACATAACATTGATGCAGGAATTGAAGAGTGACACAAAGATCTAAAACAGATCTGACACTTTGATGATGTTGTTCTGTTCATTTGATTTTGTCGCATTTCTTTTGTAAACAAAACAAACATCAGTTTGAGTTTTTTTTTAAACACTGATCTACATTTTTCAACAGTATTTGACAAACAGTCTTTGGAGCAGAACATAGCACAGAGTTTCTGTGGAGGGAACAATAGTTCCAGTCTCTGTTCCTTTGCTCTGGAACGGACCTTAAATAAAGTGAATTTTTCCAGGATCAGCAGAACTGCTGACCAAACATTTAAAACCATTTTTTTTCTTCTTCGTCCAGTCGTTATCATCTGTCAGATCAGGTCCAGACCTGTCAGAGCAGGTCTGGACCTCAGTCACTTTTGTCCTCTCTGACAGTTTTTTGTGCTACAGGTCCTCAGCTCACCAGGGTTTGACCTCAGTTTCTACAGAATGAGTTTCTGTCCCAGGATCTTGCGGTTGATTTCAGCCAGAGCCACAGAAAACACAAAGGCCTTCTCATCAGAGAGGGTGGCATAGACGTCCACTTCCTTTTCCTGTTTCTCTGTCAACGCAGCAACAGAACAAAGTCAGAACAGACCCATCCTGCCCCACGGCTCTGAGGTAAATATTATGGTATTTAACCACGTCCAGGTTAACGCTGGACACTGTGGTGTTCTGGGTAAATGGAACAACCAGTCCTTTGCAATCCCTTGCACCAGTCCATTCCAATCCCTGTTCTTACCACTAGGCCATGGGGTAATACACTGTGTATAAATGTTCAGACAGTATTACAGTTTGGGATATTAAATGCTGGTTCATATTAAGTAGGGGGGAGGTACCCAGTGTTGATGTCTGACCTTTGTCGTCCTCCTGTTTCTTCAGGCCCACAGATTTGGGTCGACCACGCCCCCTTCTGATGTGGTCCGACTGGCTGTTGGTACGTGGCCTCCTCTTGTTCTCCATGTCACTGGCTAAAGGAGAGTCGATCCTCTCCCTGCGGATCCGTTCCGTCCGTCGGCGCTTCAGCTCCAGTTTGTCTGAAGAAGAAAAAAACAAAACAAAGTGTGAGTTGAGTGACTGCTGGTCACTGCTGGTCACTGCTGGTCACTCAGACCCTAACATATGGCTATGTCACAGAGAATGTGCAGAGGAAGGTTTCAGAACTGACTGAACAGTTCCACAGCTATAAGCACACCTGAGATGGCAGGAGAACGTTCGTTTAACTTGGCGTTCAAGAGTTTCCGGCTGATGAAAACAAATCCACAAGGACAGGATTTACAGGCCACTGGAATCTGGAGGAGAAAGAAAAAACAACTGCGTAAAAACACTTGACACTCTTCAGTAAAGTCCTGTGACTAGAACGTTACTGACGCAAACATGATTTCATTATCATTATTTAGACTCTGACACTAATGTGTCCCAGTCCATCATGTTGTTGTCAAATTAGTTACAATTTTTGGACCAATGAAAAAAGTTTTTCAGTTGAATTTGATTGTTGTTACAGCTGAATCAGTGCTACAGTCCAACTCAACTCAACTGTTCTAGTTTTTGATTTACTGGTCCACTGTCCGAGTAGTGCACCACTGTTACATGTACCAAAAAAAAAAAAAGAACCAAGAATATACAAATGTATTTTTTCTGTAATTAGTTACTATATTGTTGTTTAGTGTTAGTGTTAGTTGTGTCAAATGTTGCTATGTGACACAAATGCAGTTAACTGAGATTAATGAAATACTAACCGTCTAAATAATATTATTTTTTTCGACACTGTCCCACCACTTCGATGATACTTTTTTCTATGCATCGGGCCCTGTTTACTTTGGCCCCCCAAATTTCTAATTCCGCCACTGTCTTTTGCTTACCCTCTGTATCGATACTACTGAAAACCGTTGCGACGTTTATTGATATTTTCTCACCTGTTGGTCACACTCTGGACAGGACTTTGTAGCCATTTTTACTTTCTTTGTTTTATTGGCTGACATAGTTTTTTTCTTTTTGTCCTAGAACGCGTCGCGACAATACTTCTTCTGCTATAGTTTTTCCAAGTGGCGCATGAAGAAACGGCGACAGAGCCACGGACAAAGAGAAGCACAAAAATACGACGTTAACAATTAAAAAATGTTATTGAAACGAAAATAGAAACGCTTTCAGATCGCTGTGATATCAACTACGCGCAGCCGCAAAGCGGACCTCTTGCTTTATTTTCCTTTGTGGTTAGATGACATGTAATTTGCTTTAAAATAATTTACTGCCCCCTGCTGGATGGGAAGAAAAGTTAACCGCAGCAAATATGTACAGCTCGGTTATTAAAAAAAAATTGAATTAAAAAACAACTTTGACACTGAGCCGTTAAGTATTAATTACAAATAATATATAATAAAATGACAGTTTTGTGGTTTTACCTCAATCAATAATTACTATTTCTTTTACTAATTCAGTAAATATTAAAACTTATTTTCACAGATTTTCTTAAACACGAATTCAAACCATTTGAACAATGTTTTGTTGTCAAAGTAAAAAAGGAAGAAAATGCAAATTTGTTTATTTCGTTTTTATTTCATTAAATGACAATGATATTTGTTATTTAATCTGCTTCTTTTTCTGATTTACAATTGTGTTTACACAAAGACACAGCACAGAAAAGGAAAAAAAGACAGAATGAACAGGAGGGAGTCACAACAGCAGCAGACAGTGGAGGAGAGAGCACGCTGCAGCCGAGAACAAGAACCCTAGAGTGAAGAACCCACCGCCACGTGACGGTGGCTGGAGGTTAAGGGAGGCAGTTTAGACTGAAGGGCTGAAGCGCAGTAAAGCAGGTGGGCACATGCTGCAGGTCTGTAGGCCATTTCACTGCAGACAAACTGAGGCTGACGAAGTGACAGGCAGACAAAGGTCAGGAGGAACAGAAGAAAGAACCGGAACATGCTGCAGAGGAACCAATCATCAGAACCTTCTTCTTTTCTCTGCAGGTCGTCTTTGTAGCATGGTTGAGTGATATACCGACACCGACAGTGCCACCTACGGCTAGGACCAAAACAACTAAAGACACCTCTGCCAGTCACTAACACGTGAAAAGAATTGATTGACTGTTGTGTGTATATATATATATATATATATATATGTCCAACACCAGGGGAAAGATCAGTGATGTCATCACAGCAGGTTAACTGAGTCATTTGGTTTGACCGTGTCTCTGGAGCCAAGTACACTGTTTCTTGTTTATGGGAGGGGGAGTCAGAGAGTTCAGTTGGAGTCAGGACCTTATTGACCTCACTTCCAAATAGCCAACATTCTTTTAAATTGAACTAAGTTTTTGGAGAAGAGCACGACTACTTCTTCTCTGGGCTTTAATTTGGTCACAGAACTTTTCCTACAGGACGGCAACAGAGTTTTCCATCAGTTGACTGCATTTAAATACCTACAACAGAGAGTTAGGTCTAAGGTCAAGTGTAAAGTGATAAAGGTTAAAGTAGATCATTAGAGAAAAAAGGAATGACGTCCAGGACTTTTCCAAATCAAGGAAACGTTTCACACGCTTCTAAAAAAAAAAAAAAAAAAAGTAACACTGCTGCAGATAAAAAACATTTCTGCTGATGAGGAGGAAAAGATGCAGAATACATGGTTTATAATCAGAATTTTTACCAAAGAAAATAATAAAAGTTGTCTTTTTATTTCTCCCCTTTGTGTGTTCCTGCGACTATGACATTTCTGTGTTTCTGTTTATACCACAGTGTTAGTTACACCTCACAGCCCACAGCTGGACCCTTTAGAGGACCAGACCGTCGTAGGCTGGACCCTCGGACTCAGGTGACTCCCTCTGCAGCCGCAGATGTTCCAGGGTGTTGTGGAAGTGTTTGTTAATCTGCTCTGTCTCCTCACTGGCCTCCAGGTTTGGGAGATCTTCCCTGATCTTCTGGATTAGCTGGTTTAGGACCTGGACTGTCACCTAAGTAAAGATGACAATGACATCATCACCACCACCATCATCAATCATGTATAATTCCCTCAGGTCTTAAAGGTATGCAAAAAATGGAAAGGTTTATCTAAAAATACAGCAAACCTGCCTAATAGATAGCCTGTTAATAGATAGCCTATTAGCACAGTCTAACTTTTGCTAAATAACCAAATCAAAGTCAGAAAGGAGGACAGCCCAGAAAATGCATAAAACATCTTTAGCAATTGTTAACCCTCGAGCTAACGTTTAGCTTATTGATAACTAACTTAATATAACTTCTGGTTAAAATTTAGCTATTTTTGGTTAACTCTATTTTCACTAACGTACAGTTATGTCAGACAAAAGTTTTGTTTTTGAAAAGCACATGATTCAGTTTTTTCTACAGCTAGGTTAGGTTAGACAATGCTACGCTAAGCTAGGCTTAAAGATGCTAACTTTACATTTGAGGTAACACAGTTCATTAGACAAAAAGTGAATACCAGACTCAGGTTTACACTGACTGTGGACAGGGCTGGTTCTCAGCTGCTACAGACTGACAGATGGAGTGCGATGTTACGATGTTGTTCCTACCGCATCGTTTTCTCTTTCGTAGAAACAGACGTATCTGTTGAGGATTTCGATGAACAGCTGGACCTGCAGTGACGGGTCCATGCACTGGTTGGCGATCTTCAGGGCTTTCTTCAAACACTCCATCACACGTTTGCCATCGCGGATCTGAGCAGAGGTTTTAGAGCGTTAAAAACAGTTGTTTAGATATTCCTATCTTACAGCATGAGCTATCTTTCTTCTTCTACTTTTTGGCCGTTCCTCAGCTAACGTTCACTTCATGCTACTCACCTCTTCTCCATTTTTGTCTGTGCTGTGTCCAGACCAGAAGAGATGAGCACAGATGCTGACGGCTCGACACTGGTCGGGTTTCTTCAGCAGTTTGGAAGCAGCCAGAGCACACTGGGTTCTCAGAGGCTCGTGGTTCTCCTCGCTGAAACAGCGCATTCTCTCAAAGGTTCCAATGATCAGTGTGATGGCGGCGAGCTGGGCCTTGGAGTCGCTGATCTCATCCTCATACAGCGAGAAGGCCTGAGCCGGGGGGGAGCACATGACAGAAGTTAACTAACAACTAACTAAGGTAATTGAAGGCAAACAGTGCCTCAGGATCCAGTTCTAAGTCAGTTCTTCAGTAGGACTAATTTAGCTGTGATGCACAGACACATTTTCTCACTGACTTTTATCGCAGACCTGAGCAGATTAAAATTAATTTTTGATTTCTTTTACAGCTACATCTGACTAAAACATTACTTTTAAACCCAATCAATCACCGTATCATTACAAAAAGTTTAACCAACGCAGCACTGATGTGTAGAATTATGGAAACTTGAATTACTGCCACCTTGTGGGAAATACTATGAATTTTATTCTTGGCTATAAACCCCACAGACCATTTCCTTTTACCTGCGACATGAACTCGTAGGCTACAGTTTCGTGGTTCTCGAAACCAATCTCTCCTGCAGCCAGCGCCCCCTGCAGGAAGAGTCTGAGAGGAAGCTCAGCCAGCTCGGCTTTGAACAGTGCACTGATGGTCTGGTGAGCGAAGGAGAATATCTTCTGACACTTCTTTTCCCACTTGTCATCCTGCAGAAGACAGTGACCTGTTTAGGATTCAGTACACACACGTGTGCGTGTGCGTGTGTGCGTGCGTGTGTCACCAGTGAGGAGTTCTCCTTGTATCTGAAAGCCAGCTGGTAGGCAGCAAAGGCCAGAGGAGGGAGTGTGTAACGAATCCTTTGGTTTCCACCAGCCCCAAAATGTTTCCTGGCCGTGTTGAGGATCTGGAAACACGTCACGAAAAAACGTCAACCATAGATTACCACAGTGTGGGTAATTACCCATGGTTTCATTACCCATGGTTTCATTTACTTAATTTACCATTGGAACCTTTTAATTTATTCATATTAGAGTCTGTGAGTGAACTTCCAGTCAATTCCAGCCTTATTTGGTAAATTTAAATTTTGGAGAAAATAAACCTCAGTCAACAGTTTCAGATTATTACGATGCATTTGGTAAATGGTTTGACTAATCTAATCCTGATCTAATCCTAAATGTTGAGCTGAGGACTGACCAAGTACTGCTGGTCAGGGTCCTCAGAGTGAAGCAGGTGGATGAAACGACCCACAAGGCTTTGCTCTTCAGCAAAGTCCTCAGGGTCGGGGTCATCTGCGGGCTGGTCCGGTTGGTCCTGGATCAGTGTGGACACTAAGGTCAAGATGGCGTCCACCTGAAGACACAACAGGAAGTTCAAATGTGTTTTTAGTTTGGTTCATTACTTCGACTTCCTCCATTTCTTTCTTGAGGTAAGCGTTTCTGTGAAAACAGCAGGGGGTGCTGTGTCGTCAGAACGACGCCCACGTGCTGTGACTGAAGTTCTGAGGTGGACACTGACCTGCTCCTGGGCCACAATGGTGGTGTTGTAGTCTAGTGTGTTGCTGAGCACATAGCAGCTCATGCTTTTGCGGGATTCATAGTCAAAATACTCGAAGAGTGGTGGGAAGTGTTTGAGCTGCAGCACGGTCAGGACGTTGTTGTAGGTGTCCACAGGGATCTTCAGCAGCCGCGTCAGCTCCTTGGACACCGCGCTGCTGGTCGCAATGCTGCGGTTCATGAGAAACAAATGTTAAAGGAAGGTTTTAGTGGACGCTACTGCAGTTTGGACTGAAACCTGTCACTGACAGACAGCGTCCCCCCCTCCCTCCCGCCCCCCCACTCACTGTTCCAGGTTCAGCTTGTTGAATATCTCAACAGTGCTTTCCAGGACTTTGTCCACATAGTCCACGCGGTCAGGGTAACACTTCATGGCCAAATTGATGAGAGACACCTGGAGAGACACCACGTCCTCTGATGGCATGTCCTGACGAGACTGAGTAGAGGGATGGAAGGGGAGAGACAAAGAGCATGAACCTTTTCAAACTTTGTTTTTATTATGTTTGAAGCCAACCTGACGGCAGCGGCTGTGGAAACGTCCACGGTTCATTTCTACAGCACCAGTTCATTTACCTGAATGACCGTCGCCACCTGCTGGGAGAAGATGTCAAAGAGTTTGATCTCAGCTGGAATACCAGGACCATCTTCTCTGTGGGCGAACAGAGCCAGTCTGAGGGAGACGGGGGAAAACCTGAGCTTCGTCCAACCATTGTTGACACACACTTACACACTTCACAGATTCAACACATCTAAGAAAACGTCAAGGGTCACCTGTCGATGAGGGCGATGATGATGTTCTTGACGTTGACGTTCTGATGGAGCTCAGCACAGGAACGCAGGAAGGGGTTCAGAGTCTGGAGGTGGAACTCATCTGGAAAAACCTGAGAAAAACAAAAATATTTTGTCCCGTTTTATGAAACCAGGATCAGGGATTAACCTGAAAACCAGGATTCTGTTTTAAGCCATAAAAGGCTACAAAGGCAGTAGTCTAAAGTAGAGGGTTTGGACTGAGCGGATCCTGGACCATACCTGGATGATGCACTCCATCAGATATTCCTGAGCCAGAGAGTCTCTGCAGTTCACCACTTGCTCCAGAACCCCAGGAAGAACAATCTGTGGAGGTGGAAAAAAACGACACACACAAAAAAAAAAAAAATTTTTTTTACAAACCAACATGGCTGCTCACGATCACGTTCCCTCACAGGTTCTTGAACAGACTACAGGCCGTCACAGGGATTTCAGTTTGTTTTCTAAGGGTTAATTACACTTTGGCCTCAAATGTCTGTGAATATGATTTGACTTTCTTGACTTCTTTGTTAGTTAGCCATAATAATGTTGAAACATTTATTTGTGAATATATGTGGAGAATTACACACCTGTTTGTACTTGTCCACATTGACCCCCTCCAGTTGACTGAGGCGGACCAGGTTGGTGCCCACCAGGATCCTCAGCTCCTGCCGCTCCTTCTCCCTCTTCTCCCGGTCTCGGCTGTGGCCCTGGTGCTGCATCCTCACCCACAGCTTGTTCATTTCTGCAAAGTTGAGCAGGACGAAGTCCATGGAGTCGTTGATGTCGCCCGTCATCTCCTCTGAGCCCCTGCAGCACAGACGGTTCATGTCAGGACACAGAGCTTGACTTTAACGAAGAGAGAATCTCTGAGTGTCAACGTCAACAGAAGCAACAACAACGCTACAATCATACCACCGACCAGCCTTTTGTCATTGTTCTGCTGTTTCTTTCTTTTAGATTCTTCAAGGCCAATTATTTTTGTTGTATCATTGGTCCAATCAGGTTCTGTGTGTTGTCTTGCTAACTCAAAGCTTTGTGGGTTTCCTGTTCTGTCCAGCAGTGACCTACAGCAATGACCATCTTCAACACCTGTTGTTGTCCACTGATCAAACACTGACGTACTCTGTCTGCTCGCCGTCGTCTGGCAGGATGTTGCGGGTGCACTGCAGGAGGTAGTTTCTCAAAAACAGACCCCGCAGTGGGTGTTGGACGCCGCGGCACATTTCCACAAGGTCCTTCAGAATGTCCTTACGAGACTGAGGGAAGGAACGGACATACACCACGCCCACTGTGATCAGAAGATACCTGTAGAGAGACAGAAGGAGGACGTGCTCATGGTGTTGCAGCAGATGATGTAACATGTCAACAGAAGGCTAGGACAAAAGATCTGTACTGAACATGTTTCTGTTGACATTCTAGAATGTTCTAGAATGTCACTCCAGCTGATACTCACAGTCTGGGGATGATGTTCCCTGCGTACTGCACCAGCTCGTACAGGTCGGCCACCTTGCGACCCTTAGCGAACTCGTCGGTCAGATAAACCTCCAGGTAGTGGAGTTCATCAGAGATGGCCATGTCTACAAACAGGGTTAAGATCTGTGACAGTTATAACACTCTAATTCCTACAGACCTGCTGTTCTCATTGAACACAGGGAATACTACAACACTACTACAACAATATACTACAACAAATCAGAGCAAAACACTGTTGCAAAATGAACTAAATAAATAAATAAAAATCTAATTACGTATTTTTCCTAGCTGTGTCTCATCTTGCACTTACTCAAACAAACCCATGGGGGTGCTGGACACCACTGAAAAAAGACAGGTGTAAAAGGGGAGGTGGCCATGTTATGTGATAGCTGCTCACTTTTAGAAAGAGTTTTTAACTGTGTTCTCAATAATGAAATGTCTGTACAGAGAACTGTTTAGACATCACGCGGGGGTTGATGGTTCACCGCTGCCACATTGACATGGTTCAAATGTGTAACTTTTTGACTGTAGTGATTAAAAACCTTCACTAATATTTACCGCAGACTTCAGACAGACCACTCAGGACAGCACTACACCAGAGAACCATCATCACAACCAGGTAAAAATCAATGATTTTTCTCAACGGACTTTACGTTTGTTTATGTTGATGTTGTGGGACAGTGGTGATTGACAGCTGTTTGGTTTCTACTGGTCGATGTCAGTCAAGGATACAGAGCTCGTAGTAGCTCTTTGGCGACAGCATGGATGTCCTCAGCTCACCCAGCATGTTGGAGGCGTGTTTGAGAGCATCCATCAGTTTATTCTTGTCCTGCAGAAGAGTCAGAGTCAGAGATGAAAATGTATAGTAGTGCTTGGGATCGCACCACTTCTGCCGTGCTGTGTACTACATAATAATTTGTATAACTTCAACTTTGTCAAATATCATTACCAGGCATCGCTTCATCTGAAAAGACTGAACCTTGACGGCCTGGACAGCTTCATCCAGAAGCTTCTCCTGCTCATCCTGAGGAGACTGCTGTGTGGTTGGCTGTGAACGAATTGTGAAGAATCTTTGATGAGCTTAGTATTTAAAAGTAAAAAGATTCCATGACAGAACATTTGACATTAAAGTTAATGACCCAACAGCTCACTCAATCATTGTAAAAATCCAATAGACACTCAAAACTGTTATTTGCTAAAATACTTCAAATTCTTGTTCTAACAAAGAACAGACATTCACTGTAAACCATAACAATGTTTGTTGAAAAGAATCCCTTTGTATTCTGAGTTCCTCAGAAACCAAATACTTCACTGTTTTACTTTATTCCATTACAGATTAGCTCTGACTGAAGAAAAGGTTAAACTGCCCTTCAGTGAAGGACACTAAAGACAATGTAGTGGATTTTAATGCAAGTGTCTGATAAATGCATCAATGTAAATAAAAGATGAAGAACGTCTTTTTTTTAAAGAACGTCCTCCAAATGGTCGTGGTTCTAAGTTCCAGTAAAGGTTAGTTATACACAACAGTTTGAAGGACTACACTGCCACTCACATTCAGCAGCACTTTCTACCTTTTCAATAGTCACATATCTTTTTAATTTTCTGCATCAACTTTTTGCTAGTGTAGTCCACAAATGTTTAATTATTTGGTGTTTACTCTGTTAAAATGCCTATTCAGCTTAAATTGTTTACTTCCATCTCAAAACTACGGGTTTTATCTAACCCTTAACGCCTATTTTATTTATGACTAACTGTGAGACTTTTGTAAACGGAGTTTTGTAGCAGGGTTTGGTTCAAACACCAAAAGGGAATGACACTTGAACGGAAGAGTAACAACTGAACGTCACCCGCGTCGTTCCGGAAATGTCCCGTGTTGTAAATAGGATTGTTCACGACGAACTTAAAATGGTAACAGGTTTTACTTTTTATCTAAAAGTACGAACAGAGAATTTACTATTTGCGAAGGAATAATACGCTGCGCTCGATAACATCGCTGGTAACCCTGTTAGCTTAGTTAGCAGCTGTATGACTTTAGGCCACAGCGGTTAAAACACAGCTTCCTTCACCTTATTTTTACACTGCAGTTCACTTGTTGCACAATATAGATGTGAACGTTTTAGAAAAAAAACACCAATTTGCAGAAGTATTTATTTAAATGAAAAATACAATGCTTACCATAATGATGGTTAGCTGAGTGTCAGATCAGCCGCAGTCAGACGCTCCGCTGTCATGTGACTCAGGAACCGTGTTGCCTTCACGGTAGGCTTGGACGTTTGCGCGACAAATAGTAAGGGGCGTGGTCAGACGCCATGGTGCATTTAGGCACATTGCAAATCTGAAATCTGAATTATGTATTATATATTAAAAATCGTTACTGAGAAACAGTATAGAGCCACACCAATAATGCAAAACTTTTAGATGTGGGTTTTTCCTGTGTGAAATATTTAATTTTTAGAAAGACCATGTCACCCATTTTGACACTCAAGACCCATAACTTTGATAAATAGCTTATGAAAAAATAATTAGGATTCAATTTATTAAAAAAGATCAAACAATTATTTCTTTAACATGAAGTGAATAAATAAAGCTTAGTTTGCACAAGAAAATTTATAATCCTTTAGATACACTTACCACAGTCTAAATGTTTCAGCCGCTGTGTTGAATTATCTTACAACCACTGTCTGTAGTGGTTAAGGATACTTTTTAAAAATTCAAATGACGCAGTTTCTAAACATTGTAGCTTTTACTGCAGATGAAGTGGATGGGTGTAGATTCGCCGTAACCCTACCTAACGGCAACGGTAGAGGGCGACTCAAACATTGTTTTGATAATGTCAAGCAATGAGAAGTAGAAGAAGACAGAGAACGGAAGCGGTTCATGGAAAACATGGCGGCGCCCTATGGCGACCATCGACTTATGGTGATAACACCATTTAGTTCAAAAACTGCTATTCTACAGCAACTGTTGTAGCATCTTCACGCACAGTTTAGAACACACGTATCAACGTGAACTGCTGTGAAGATGTGGCTGAGCAGTAGAGCTTCGACAGCTTCGGCAGGGGTGGCTCTGAAGCTGCGACAGCGGCAGAAGCAGCAGCGTCAGTTCTTTGGCTCCCTAAGGAAGTCCGGACCGCCGTGGAGGCTCCTGTTTTTCGGCTCAGATCACTTCGCTTTGGAATCATTAAAGCTTCTTACAGCCAACAGCAGGTGGCGCTCACTCACACGACTAGAAAACAGTGGTACAGATCAATGTCATAGTTGACAGCAATTATTAGGACGTCAGTATTTGATACTCTCGAGTCCGATCTAGTTCCAGTCCTAAAAGGAGACCAAGTCCATTCTGCTGAATGTCCAAAATATATCTAGTGCTTCACTCTAGAGAAGTTGGAGATGGTCTGGGCTGGGTCTTCAATGTTAAGTTAAAGGTTAATGGTTAAGTAAAGCTAGTGCTGGGTGTTTATAGTACCGGCTGCATTTTTATAAACAGCAACAACTGACTTTTTTGTTCACAAAGATGATCATTTTGGGTTCTACAACAGAATAATCGAACAACTGACTTTTTTGTTTACAAAGATGATCATTTTGGGTTCTACAATTTACAATCAAACTCCTACGATCAAAGACAGGGTGAATGACAAATAACCTCGGTGTTGTGTTCACAGGAGCTCCAGTGAGAAGATCGTGGAGTCTCTGGAGGTTGTCACTTTGTCCCCTAAAGTTCCGGTGACAACGTTTGCTCAGCAGAACCACCTCCTGGTCCACAGCTGGCCACCGGACCATGTTGATGGTCGGTTTGATGTGGGAGTTGTTGTGTCCTTTGGCTGTTTACTTCCTGAGAGACTGATCAACAAGTTTCCATAGTAAGTAGCTTGTTTAGCTCTGTGGTAAAATGAAGGCTCTGTGCCTCCCTGTGTTACTGTTGCTCAGTGCCAAAGACAGTCACACAGTTAAAAATGAACTGTTCCTTCTAACGTTCTCTCTTTTTCTCAGTGGCATTCTGAATGTCCACCCCAGCCTGCTGCCCCGTTGGAGAGGCCCAGCACCCGTATTCCACACCATATTACATGGTGACACTGTCACGGGAGTGAGCATCATGCACATCCGTCCTCACAGGTGAACTGAGGTGAAGCCACGCAGTGTTTGTAGTCATCTTGGCCGGTTTTTAAACACATCTTTAAATCCTAGGTTTGATGTTGGTCCCATTCTTAACCAGGAGATCCACAAAGTCCCTGACAAGTGTACTTCAGAGGAACTTGGAGCTGCCCTTGCAACAAAGGGAGCAAAGCTTGTGAGTTTCATCTCGAATAACATTATTTCAGATATTTTTAAAAGCAACAAAGATAAAAGCAAGGTCTTTTAAATCGAAAAATTAATTCTTAAAATAAAATACCAAAATATAAAATGACTAACATACTAGAAATGTTGAAGATTTAATGACAACCCTTTTGTCATTTAACCCTAATTTTTCTGTTAATCCCACTACCTCTCCATCTCATCATCTAACCACTCCTGTACCATCAGTTTGTCTATTCATTTATATTATTCCATCTTTCACTGACCATTTGGTCATCTATTTTTGTCCATTTGTCCATTGGACTAGCTGTCAGCTGAGGGACTGTTAATGTTATGTACAGACGGTTAAAGTCAGTTTGAGACACATGGCGTGTTATTTTGGGCTGCACAAAACTTCTAATTTTGAGGTGACTGTCAACTGTAGTTTGTTTTGAGAGTGAGCCAGTGTGAACAGTCAAAATGACTCCATAAAACTGACCTTATGAATTCTGTTCCTAATACAACGTTGTGTCTTGTCTGTATGTTGGCTACAGCTGATTGATACTTTGGAGACTCTGCCTGAGAGAATGGCACAAAAAATAGAACAGAAGGAGACAAGTGCAACATTTGGTATGTAGACTTGAACTAGAGTTCTGACTCGTTGATAGCTGATATAACTAACTGTATATGAAGTGGAAGATGTGCATCAGTCTCATTTAGCAAACTCTTTTCAACAGCTCCTAAAATCAGTGCATCGTTGAGCTGGGTGTTGTGGGAGGATCAGACCTGTTCACATATCGATCGTCTGTACCGAGCTATTGGATCCCAGGTCAGTCACGACTGGACTTCTCCGTACACCAGCATGGCTTTATACAGTATCTGCAGAAAGACACGGTAGCCGCTAATTGGCCATTAGCTCTGTGTATGAGTTGCTTTACAGTCACCTCCTGGTCTATTGACTTTTGGTAAATGTTTAAATATAATTAAATACAAAGAGTGGGCAGAAGAAGTCCTGTGACACTGAAAGGACTCTGGGTGTTAATGTTAATATAATATCTTAATAACCTGTAAAGAGTGGGTGTGCAGTGGACTGTTAATTAGCAACAATTTTTCTCTGTACCTTTTTAGATGCACTTGAAGACCATGTGGATGGGCAGGACCATCAAACTGCTGGACTTTGTTGGAAAATGTCACATTTCCTTATCAGGTTATTTTCATTAAATAGTATGAGACATATTTAAACAAAAGCCTTGTTTTTTTATACAATCAAAACTTATTTTTTCCCTTTTTGTTTGAAGATCCCAGCAGGATTCCTGTCTTTGGGTCGGTGACCTATCAGAAAGAGTCCAACACTCTGGCTGTTCGATGTCAGGTATGTGTGATTGGCCCACATCCAACAGCTTGTTTTGTTGAAGGGACAGGTCATGAACTCGTCCAGAATCAGCATACTCTGAGTTTATATGACCCTGACTATTTATCTGTCTGTGTGTGTGTGTCTTTTGTTTGTTAAAGTTTTATTTTAGCTTCAACTCATTTGATTATAACCTGTTAGTAAGGACAGTAAAGATTTCTTATGGTTTTTTTTGTGTGTGTTGGACCAGGATGGCTGGGTGGGATTTAAAGGAGTGCTTTTGAGAAAAAGACTGACGGCCGCTGACTTTTACAATGGCTACCTGCATCAGCAGAGGGCGCCACATGAGGCAGGGGCAGCAGGACTGTTCATCAGCAGGCTGCCAGCAGCTGCAGCTCCTCATGTTAAAGGCAACTTGGCGTCGTCATAACGACGCAGAGGAAGTCATCTGATGTAGCGTGTCTGTTTTAGGACACTTGTTCTGTGTTCATTTGTAATGAAGTCATGATGAGACTCATATGGACCATTTGGACAGCGGCCTTGATGAATCCTATTTTTAAAACAGCCCAGAACGCTGGAGTCTGAGTGCAGTTTCAGTGTTGCCCACAACAGACTTTCTAGAACTGCTGACTCATCAATATGACAAAGATTCATGTTGAATGAATTGTTTGTGTAAAGCCATACAGCTGTGTTTAGGAATATGACAGCTGTCAACTGTACCATGAACCGTTAGTTAGCTTCACCTGTGGTTTTGTAAAGAGGATCTAGGAATACATCAGGATGGTGTTGAGATATCAAAATCTCCTCTGAGCTTCTGCACATGTTCAGTGGAAGATGAATGATTTCCAGTCTCCCATTGAGAGATATGACTGCTGGATCCAAAACCAAAATGTTTTTATGTCAATAGATTTACTGCATAAGTACAATATGCAATAAAAAGCCTCATGTGGACTACACTGCATTTATGATTTCTTTATATATATGTAATACTGAATTTAAAATTGTAATCTGTTAATTAAGAAAGACATTCAACAAATGTTTTTGAGACCCCAGCTGCACATAGGAAATATTACTGTATGTTTCAATGATGTCACAGCTAGAGACTAAAAAGGCTTGACATACAATCGGTAATTTTTCAGATACCAGAAAGTACATAAAAAAAAGAAGTGGTGTCAATGGTTTTAGGTGCATTAAAACATTTTAAAATGTTGTGTTGTTTATTTAATTAAAAAAACTGTTGTTGAAACAGTTGAAAAGAACACAGTATTATTTGTACTGCTACTAAATAAATGGTACAAATCATTACAACCTTTGTCAACTGATTCAATTTTTTTTTGACCGGGAATTCGGCTCGCCCAGCTTGTAACTCAAAGAGCTGGCTGGCCTAGTCCGACGCACACTCCATAACAGATGATGGCGCTAATTTACCGAAAGCGAGGGACAGAGGTAGAAAGAGAGAGAGAGAGATAAAGGGAGAGAGACACCGAGAGAGAGAGACCTCCATCTTAAACAGGCGTTAGCTCGTTAGCTGCTGTTGTAGATTAACCCCTTATTAAGTCCAACAGCTGAAACTAGTGTAGTGTGTGACGTAAACATCGACACAGTTCATCGGAATAATCCACAGCCGCCATTTTTAACGTCACATTTACCTTGGCTTAAAATAAACACGGGTAAGTTTACCCAACCATTAGCAACAACAACTGAAGCTTAGCTTAGCCTTAGCTTTGCTTGTATGTTTGTATGTGTGTGTGCGTGCGCGCACTGGTTGCTTTGGTCATGTTATAAACAGTGTTGGTCTATAGCGCTAACTGCTGTGCACACTGTGCTGTCATTTTTGTCATGACGTCACAGTTTAACCATGTCACATGTTGACGGAAATACGTCACAAGAGGGTTTTCTTGGTTCAAACGGTCTGCTTGGTAAGAATTGGTGTTTGTTTATTGACTGATAGGGTTGTCAGTGTTCCAGCTGTGTAAATATGACATTTGTGTGTTAAAGTGCAGAGCTCAGACTGTCATCGTCTTGTCATGTATGGACTTAGTTTTGTTTAAAAAGACTGTATCCAAGAAATGCTGGTGAAGCTCTAGAACAGGGCCGGGCAAACTTTTTGGCTCACGGGCCACAATGAGGACCAACCTAGACTGGCTGGCAAGACCATCTTTAAGTATGAAAAATGTATTATGTGAAGTAATATTTTTAAAAAAAACTTATTTGAAACCTTCAGGTCAATGAAACAACGCATGTAATTTAGTGGGAACGATGGCGTTGGTCCCCCTGTTTAGCCAGTCTGAGGGTGTTAAAACTTCTCCTTTAAGACGGCCAGCCATCTTATTCAAAATACAACCTCTTCTTTCCGTGCTGCTGGAGCGGTCCGTTGGCTGGAGATTTGAGGTAGCGGCCACCGTCTAGCAAAGGTAAATTGTGTATCTCCCCATCTAGTGGTATCAACTGAAAATGCAGTTGATGCATTGCATAGCAGGAAAAAGACAAGTTGGAATCAGACTTCACCATAACATGGCTAACTTTGTAATAATGTCTGACCGACCGGATCAGAAGGCCCAAGGGGCTGAATCTGGCCCGTGGGCTGTAGTTTGCAGAAAAATGGTAACAGAAATATGAATAAAAAATATTAGATGAATATGAAGTGGGGGGGATTAACATGATTATTAATAATGAGTTCTTTGTCCATTTGCGGCCTTGACACGTGAGGCTTTTGGTGAATTTTAATATTTTTATGCCATTGATGACGGTTGTTGAAAATGATTTACCCTGACTTAAAATAAACATTAGCAACAACAACTTTGTATATATGTTTGTATATGTCTCTTTTTTGCTGTTCTGCTGAGCTATTCATTCTGCTGCTGTGACCGACAAATTGTTCCATCGTGGAACAAAGAAACATGTTGTTAATCTATTGACATATCAAAGGCTTTTCTGATAAAAGAAAATAGATGAAGTTATGGTGAAGACTGATAAAGATCAACTACAGTTGAGCTATCTTTGTCTAAACTATCTAAAATAGTGGAGCTACTAAAAGAAAAAGTTAAAAAAAATATTTAAAGTTTGTGTCATATTTAATCTGTTTCTCACTCAATTTGTGTTCATTGTTTGTTTGCACCTTGCATTTCAGAAGATTTGCATTTCATCCACGTGTGTTAAATGTTCCAAATCTGTCTTCAGTTTTTCTTTTACTTTGTACTATGTGATCATGTGTATTTGTGTACTTATTTATTTTTTGTGTTTGTATTTGTATATCCTTGTTTATTGTGGTGTCTCCTCCGTTGTTTGTTTGTGTGTTTGAAGTAGCAAAGTAGCATCCTGGATGGATAGCCTGGACCCTGAAAACCTTTATGTGGCTCCAGAGCAAACTGGACAGCCCTCACTGTCCCCCCCAACCTTGGACGTCTCCAATGTTGCAGTACTGGGGTAAGAAGACGTAAGACACTAATGTGCTCTGTCCATTTGAAGCCTTAACCATGAAAAATCCAACCAAAAGACCCCAGGAACTAGTCAATAGATATAAAAATAAACACAACAGATGAAACAAAATTAAAAAAATCCACAGAGCTATGGTTCAACCTAAAATACCTTTCATTTAAAAATAATTAAGGTTTGTCCATAAAATGGCTAAAATGGGGGAAAAAGTAAATAATATGAATTATATTTCGTACACCAATCACAGCTAAAACACAGCTAACAATTAGCCTATGAACAGATTTTTTTTGCTGAAATGTTAATTATAGCCTGACTCGAGGTAAATTAGCTTCAACAGAACTTTCCATTCCTTGGTCCAGTCATAACAGTTGTTTCTGTGGTTCGGCCAATGGAAGAGTTGTTCAGAAGAAGAGTTGTCATCATTTGACTTTGTTTTCACACGGTTGTCTCTCACAGGTCAGTGCAGTGTGTTGGTCCCGGGGCAAACATGTGCCCCCCACCCCTCAAACCCTATCTTAGCCGAGTCCGGAACCTGATTGTTTTAGTCCTCTTGTCTGTGGTGGGGGGATTAACTCCTGACTGGTCACCACTATTCAGAGCCTGTATCTCTCTCTGCTCACTGGGTCTTATCTCCATCGATCTGACACGCTGTTTGTCCGATGCTGCAGTCAGATCTGCTGGTCTAGAGAAATGTCCACAAAAGCTGTGGACCATCAGCACTTTAATTGTGAGACCTCACGTGGCCCCGAGCCTCCACCTCTGGCCCCAGTGCTGCAGGCAGCCCCACGTTCACTCCCAGTCACCAGTCAAACCTTAAAGACCTGTTTTCACGTCGTCTGTTCTGTCCTTGTATTTTTTTCTTTTTCTTCTCTGTGTGAAGTCGTCGTGGACGGGGTTTGTGTGGTAGTTGGTTTGTTTTTGGGAGACACTTTTCAAGGTTTTTGTTGGTTTCACTACACCAGGATCCAAAAGATACCAGAGAGTATACTAGTAGGTTGTCATCTGAACGTGACATCCCGTAGGTACTGAACTGAGGAAGGACAAGTAAAGGAACTGAACAGACCCTGCCATCATGGCTTCCTTTAAACTGGATTTTCTCCCTGAGATGATGGTGGACCACTGCTCTTTGAATTCCAGCCCTGTGTAAGTTACTGAGTCTGAGTCTGAGGCTGAGGCTGAGGACAGACCAGCAGCAGAGAAGACGCTGCTTCATTTCACATTGTAATAGTTTGTTAAACTTGTTGGTCTGTCATATATATGTCAATATACAGTCTATAGACTATGTCATTAAGGCTTTTAAACACTTGCTGTAAGAAAAACAACATGAGGTTGTTGTTTCTTTTTAGTGTTAAGCCTCGATTTCCAGAGGTGTTGGTTAGTTAGTTTTACGAGTTGCTATATCATAATATGTTGATCTAAAGCTCCTGTGGACCCTGGTGGGTTTTCTGATTGTTTTCTGGTCTTGAAGAATGAACATGTTGCAGATGAACACCTCCAGGGTGGAATTCTCTGGTCTTTAAAACATCTTTCTAAAAACCACTCATTTTGAGTCAACACATGTTGAGGGTGGAGGAGTCATGGTGCACTGGTGTTTGTCTTTACAGGGGGAAAAAGATGAACGGGTCCCTGGACCACCCCGACCAACCAGACATGGACGCCATCAAGATGTTTGTGGGGCAGATTCCACGGTCGTGGTCAGAGGAGCAGCTGCGAGAACTGTTTGAACCGTACGGAGCCGTCTACGAGATTAATGTCCTCCGAGACCGAAGCCAGAATCCACCACAGAGCAAAGGTTCTCCTGCAGCACACAATCATGTCGGCCTTCTCCACTTCCTGTTGTCCTCACTGTTCTTCTGTTGCCTTGACGACAGCCTGCAATGTGTCTAGACTTTGACATAGATATAGTAGATATATGGTGTCTTAAACCCCAAGTTGGTGGTTGCTTATTTTTTGCATGGGTAACAATAAGTTATGCCAATCCTTCAGATAAGAAAGGTTTTGTTTTGTTCACTTTAAATGTGTAGACAGAAATATTCCAAAGGTGTCTTTTATAAGAAATATAAAAATAAACAAAGACCTCATTGATTAAAATATGTTTAGATTTAAGGACTGGGATTCAGATGTGACAGAAGTGTTCTGTGTCTTTTTGACAGGCTGCTGTTTTATAACGTTCTACACCCGTAAATCAGCCCTGGACGCACAGAACGCTCTCCACAACATGAAGATCCTGCCTGGAGTGAGTCACTGCCTCCCATTGCCCACTCTTTTGTTGCTATGACCATGTTTATTATTAGAGATCTGACTCAGTGCTGTCACACAGACAGACCCATGCAGACTCAGACATTTGTCACTAGTTGGCAGTAAAGATCTGCATCTTGTCACCAGAAGAACAGAGAGAAAATGTCCCAGTGAAGGAGCAGATGTTTTTTTGAAACGAGTTTCTCAGATTTCTACTTCCCTCCACCCTGTTATTGCTACAATATATTTAAATACATTTATATTATATAATAAACACTGGAGGGTTTGGCTTATAAAATTGATATACAATATTTATTGAATTTAACAAAAGGCTGTGGTTTATAACCAGTGCTCTTTTATTTCCATTATAATTTAGTCAATTTGTCCCAATGTTTTACAGTTTAAAATTAGGTTGTGATGTCTATGTTGAAGAGTAAAGTAAAAACACAGGTTATATTTATCACTAATTTTTTTGGTTTTTTTTTTTAGATGCACCACCCGACCAGATGAAACCTGCTGACTGTGAGAAAAACAATGGTAAGGAGAAATCATTTCTGTATCCTTCTTACCTTAGTGTTGGACAAAATTAGCTGAATTTGTCATTAAAAGTCAAAGGTGAAGTCCAGTCAAATTTTTAATTGGTTGAATTTTCATTTTAAACTTAAACCTGTCTCTCTGATGTTTTCTTGATCAAACCTGTTGTCCTGGATGTTGTCCTAACCACAGTTGTTGTGTCTGATGGTGTCGGATGTTGTTGTTGAACTACAGCGGTAGAAGACAGAAAGCTGTTTGTCGGAATGATATCAAAGAAGTGCAACGAGAACGACCTACGGCTCATGTTTTCACCATTCGGACAGATCGAGGAGTGTCGGATACTTCGAGGTCCTGACGGACTGAGCCGTGGTAAGGTTTTCTATTTTTCACTTATACATTTGAATGTTTATATGCAAAAAAATATGATTTGTACAAAAGCATATTAAACAGATGGGAAAAAGTTACAAATATGGTTTAGTGGCTAAATGTATTAAATGCATGTTTATGTTACAAAATGTGAAAAAAATATACATAGAGTATATATTTTACCACAAATAAAAAAAGTGACTAGTTACTGTCAACAAAATTCAACCTGACATTAAATTCGGTTCTCCACTGAAATATCAGAAGGTGAAAAACAGTTTTATATTTTTCTGAAACATATTGAACAACTGACTTTTGGAGGTGTGTTGATAATTTTCCCACCTGTCGTGTCTTTCAGGCTGTGCTTTTGTGACATTCACAGCTCGACAGATGGCTCACTCAGCCATCAAGTCCATGCACCAGTCACAGACCATGGAGGTACATTGTCCCATTGTAAACATGTTGACTTTACTTGACATCTTCCTGGATGACGTTATCAGGCACAATTTTAACAGAAATACGGTTTTCTCTGTGAGCCATAATTAGCTGTTGTCTCTGTTGTCTGGGTGATGTTTTTTTGGAGAGGTACATTTTAATGCATGCATGATAAAGTGAAAGCATAACTGTCTTACAAAAGGAAGAAAAGGTGACCTCTACATTACTAAAATAAAAGACTTGGCTTCAGAAAACAGTTAACACACAACAGCTTTAACCCAACATTGGTACCAGAATTTTGATGATTGCAGAAAAAATGTGGTTCTTTTCACTCTTACAATACCAATATTTTTTTTTGTAAATTAACCTATTAACTTTACATGTTTTAAGTTTATTTATTTTTTATTCTCTTTTTATTTAGAAAGATACACGTCTAAAAAATGACGTCATAAGTCTTTTGGTTTTCTTTTGACTGTATTGATTGTAGACAGCGCCCTCTCGTGGCCATAGGGGTGTTTGCTATATTAGTTGCATTGGAACAGAAGTCACAGGACCAGCTGAACTATTAACATAGGAATGACTGGAAAATGCACTGCATTTTGTAATGTGCGTGTGTGTGCGTGCATGTGTGTGTCTTTAGGGTTGTGCTTCTCCCATCGTGGTGAAGTTTGCAGACACTCAAAAGGACAAAGAGCAGAAACGCATGGCCCAACAGCTGCAGCAACAGATTCAGCAGCTCAGTGCTGCCTCCATGTGGGGAAATCTGACTGGACTCAACAGCCTGGGACCACAGTACCTTGCAGTGAGTGTGTGTTTTCATATCAGCTGACCGTGTTGATGGGTGTGTGCATGTGGTCTCTGACTTCTGTTCATGCTTCAGCTCTACCTTCAGCTGCTGCAGCAGTCGTCCACAGGAAGCACCATGAACAACCTGCCCCCGAGTTCAGGTACACACACACACACACACACACACACACACAGGTTTGGCTTATAAAATTGATATACAATATTTATTGAATTTAACAAAAGGCTGTGGTTTATAACCAGTGCTCTTTTATTTCCATTATAATTTAGTCAATTTGTCCCAATGTTTTACAGTTTAAAATTAGGTTGTGATGTCTATGTTGAAGAGTAAAGTAAAAACACAGGTTATATTTATCACTAATTTTTTTGGGTTTTTTTTTAGATGCACCACCCGATCCAGATGAAACCTGCTGACTGTGAGAAAAACAATGGTAAGGAGAAATCATTTCTGTATCCTTCTTACCTTAGTGTTGGACAAAATTAGCTGAATTTGTCATTAAAAGTCAAAGGTGAAGTCCAGTCAAATTTTTAATTGGTTGAATTTTCATTTTAAACTTAAACCTGTCTCTCTGATGTTTTCTTGATCAAACCTGTTGTCCTGGATGTTGTCCTAACCACAGTTGTTGTGTCTGATGGTGTCGGATGTTGTTGTTGAACTACAGCGGTAGAAGACAGAAAGCTGTTTGTCGGAATGATATCAAAGAAGTGCAACGAGAACGACCTACGGCTCATGTTTTCACCATTCGGACAGATCGAGGAGTGTCGGATACTTCGAGGTCCTGACGGACTGAGCCGTGGTAAGGTTTTCTATTTTTCACTTATACATTTGAATGTTTATATGCAAAAAAATATGATTTGTACAAAAGCATATTAAACAGATGGGAAAAAGTTACAAATATGGTTTAGTGGCTAAATGTATTAAATGCATGTTTATGTTACAAAATGTGAAAAAAATATACATAGAGTATATATTTTACCACAAATAAAAAAAGTGACTAGTTACTGTCAACAAAATTCAACCTGACATTAAATTCGGTTCTCCACTGAAATATCAGAAGGTGAAAAACAGTTTTATATTTTTCTGAAACATATTGAACAACTGACTTTTGGAGGTGTGTTGATAATTTTCCCACCTGTCGTGTCTTTCAGGCTGTGCTTTTGTGACATTCACAGCTCGACAGATGGCTCACTCAGCCATCAAGTCCATGCACCAGTCACAGACCATGGAGGTACATTGTCCCATTGTAAACATGTTGACTTTACTTGACATCTTCCTGGATGAAGTTATCAGGCAAAATTTTAACAGAAATAAGGTTTTCTCTGTGAGCCATAATTAGCTGTTGTCTCTGTTGTCTGGGTGATGTTTTTTTGGAGAGGTACATTTTAATGCATGCATGATAAAGTGAAAGCATAACTGTCTTACAAAAGGAAGAAAAGGTGACCTCTACATTACTAAAATAAAAGACTTGGCTTCAGAAAACAGTTAACACACAACAGCTTTAACCCAACATTGGTACCAGAATTTTGATGATTGCAGAAAAAATGTGGTTCTTTTCACTCTTACAATACCAATATTTTTTTTTGTAAATTAACCTATTAACTTTACATGTTTTAAGTTTATTTATTTTTTATTCTCTTTTTATTTAGAAAGATACACGTCTAAAAAATGACGTCATAAGTCTTTTGGTTTTCTTTTGACTGTATTGATTGTAGACAGCGCCCTCTCGTGGCCATAGGGGTGTTTGCTATATTAGTTGCATTGGAACAGAAGTCACAGGACCAGCTGAACTATTAACATAGGAATGACTGGAAAATGCACTGCATTTTGTAATGTGCGTGTGTGTGCGTGCATGTGTGTGTCTTTAGGGTTGTGCTTCTCCCATCGTGGTGAAGTTTGCAGACACTCAAAAGGACAAAGAGCAGAAACGCATGGCCCAACAGCTGCAGCAACAGATTCAGCAGCTCAGTGCTGCCTCCATGTGGGGAAATCTGACTGGACTCAACAGCCTGGGACCACAGTACCTTGCAGTGAGTGTGTGTTTTCATATCAGCTGACCGTGTTGATGGGTGTGTGCATGTGGTCTCTGACTTCTGTTCATGCTTCAGCTCTACCTTCAGCTGCTGCAGCAGTCGTCCACAGGAAGCACCATGAACAACCTGCCCCCGAGTTCAGGTACACACACACACACACACACACACACACACACAAGTGGGTGGGGCAGAGAGAATGGAGACTAAATCCATGTTCATGTCTTTGTCAGGTTTAAATGCCATTCAGAACCTGGCTGCTCTGGCAGCAGCAGCCACTGCCACCCAGCCCCCCCCCACCGGCTCCAGCACCGTCACATCCTCCAGCAGTCCACTCAGTGTGTTCACCACCTCTGGTGAGGAACAGTAACGGTGCCGGGTACTGACTGTAGCCCTGTAAATAGTTTGTATTTCTGTATAATTTTTTTATTATTTGAATTCAGATAAGTGTTTTCCTTTCCACAGGCTCCTCCCCCACTTCCAACAGTAACTCCTCGATGAACACCATCTCCTCCCTGGGGGCGCTTCAGTCTCTGGCTGCTGGTGCTGGAGCTGGACTCAACATGAGCTCCCTGGCAGGTAGGTCAAGCCTCGGGTCACGGTCTCCTGCTGTAGCGTGTCACCACCTGTCACCACCAGAATGACAGCCGGAACTAATAGTCACATGACCTGATCATCTGATCTAATGTGATGATCAGCAGTTGTATGGTTCTGGGGTTCGTTTATTTTATGTATCTGCCAAACATTATTCTAATATATAAATGATCTATTTTGGGCATATTCAGTGATCAATGATGATAATTTAGCACTACATTTAAATCTGAGGTTTTTTACCAAATGATTTATTGTTTTTACTTTAATTTTTAGGATCTTTTCCCCCTTTTTTTGGCTTGTATTTGCCCATTTATGCTTTAGCTTATAGCTAACGTAAAAGCATTTTTGATTTTCTTTACTCTTAACATTTAACTTATTGAGGCATATATCTGCTTTTTAATTAACACTTCTGGCTAGTTTGCTTTATGGCAGCTAACTATTAGCTTTACATGAACATTACAGCGGATGTTGTTTGTCCCTGACTCTACTGTTGTGTCTGTGCTGCAGGCCTGGCAGCTCTGAACGGCAGCCTCAGCTCTGGGGGCCTGTCCAACGGCTCAGGGACCTCCATGGAGGCCCTGAGCCAGGCGTACTCCGGCATCCAGCAGTACGCTGCTGCTGCTGCCATCCCTGGTCTGTACAACCAGAGCCTGCTGCCCCAGCAGGGGGTGTCAGCCGCAGGCAGCCAGAAGGAAGGTGAGGTCTGGGGGGGGGATTGAGCATGTACAGTTACAGTAGAAATATAAACTGCTAAAATATCTTTTTGCACCTACTAACTTTTAATATTTGATTCTTGGTTCTTTCTAAATTCAATCATTAATGGCCTCACATTGAATTTTTCAATTTTTTTAAATGTCAGTTTTTGGACAACTTAAACACATTTTATGTTAAGTGCTGTCTGTTCATTCAATGCTGTCTGTTCATTGAGTTAAATCTGATGCAGATTTTCACACAACACAAGTTAAAAACACATAAAAACTCTGTGAAGGCGACAGTGTGTGATGTCCAAGGAAAACAAGAACAGATTTAGAACATAGTACATTTAGCTGAGGATAGAGCTGAGGAGGCGTGCAGAAACTAGTGATGCAGACAGGTTAGTGGAGATGTGTGTGTGTGTGTGTGTGTGTGTGTGTGTGTGTGTGTGTGTGTGTGTGTGTCTGTTAATGTATCTCTTTCTAAAAATTCTGTCTTGTTTTAAAAATGCTGCGTCAGCCAGCAACAGTCCCAGCACTGGTAAGACTAAGTCCACACCTCCTCCCAAACAAGGCTCTTCTCCTTGTTTGTGTCTCCATATCAGTCCGACTGAACATTTCATGTTAAATATTAAAGTGTTGTCAAACAGAAGGTCACCACCAGGACCAGTTCATTTACCTCCAGAACTTCACAAGGTTCATTAGGACATGGACTGAAGCTGTAGACATAGATATGTCTGCCCTGTATGGTTCAGCTGGGGGGGGGAAGATGGGGGGGGAAGGCGGAGGAAGCGCCACTGACAGTCTCTGTGTTCACTGTCAAGTCATTGGTTTCTGCTACAGAAGTTTGGCGTAACTGTAGGCGCACGGGTTAATTAAGCAACAACTTAGGTTCATGCTAACAGCCCTGTGTATCAGCTCAAGATAATGAGACACAGTTTACTACAAATACTCTACACTAATGAAGAAGTAAAGCATCAAAGTTTACTATTATAGTATTCATTACTCTCACTACTATTATGATAACCGTTCACTGTGATTGGTTGAACAATACACTCTTTGATTGACAGGTCCAGAAGGAGCCAACCTGTTCATTTACCACCTGCCCCAGGAGTTTGGAGACCAGGATTTACTCCAGATGTTTCTTCCCTTTGGAAATGTCATATCTGCCAAAGTCTTCATCGACAAACAGACCAACCTCAGCAAGTGTTTTGGTGAGTGTGGTCCAGACGGGTCGGAGCCCTGGTCAGATAAAACGGCACGCTCCTCTGTAGAGACAGCGTACTGCAGTGTAGTATCCTCATCTGTCCTGTACCATAGTAGACCTGGGCTCCAATCCAACCTCAGCCCAGTTTCTAGAGGTGAAAGTCAAGAGTGAATTCAGTCAGGGTCAGTGGTTCTCAAACGGTGGTATGTGTACCACTTGTAGTCTCCTGTCTTGAATCAGAGTTTGGTCACCGAGAGTCAGAGGGTACAATGTTACAGTACTCAACAGTACTCCTTCAGCAGTGTTGACAGTTTTGTTTTAATTGGGTTAGTGGCTCCCTCTAGCGTCTGCGTTCTGCAGTTCACTCACAGGTGTCTGAAATGAAATATTAAAGTGGTCACACTGTCTGTCCTGAACTGGTCCATGGTCCATGATCCATGGTCTGGTCCATGGTCCAACCTCTGTATACATATACTCTGACACTGACTGAAGGATTGATTCAAATACTACTTCCTTCTTCTCTGATGACACTTGAGTTTCTCACTCTGATCTCTGCTCCAGGCTTCGTGAGCTATGACAACCCAGTGTCATCTCAGGCCGCCATCCAGTCCATGAACGGTTTCCAAATTGGTATGAAGAGATTGAAGGTGCAGCTGAAGCGTTCCAAGAACGACAGCAAGCCCTACTGAAGCTGCAGGAGCAGCAGGCACTTAGTAAGGCAGGGTTTTCATCTGGTAAGTGGAGTCTGAGTCCAGAAGAGAGACTGGTCCGACAGAACCTTCCTGTCTGGTGTCTCTGATGTTGTGACTGTGCTGTGTTCAGGCAGAGAGACTCACTAAACTACACACAGGGCTTTGGTCTAGACCTGGTTCTTCTTATTATTATTTCTGTGTTCAGCTGTCGGTCACACACTGTTTTTTAATTTTAACACATTGGAGAAGGAGGTGTATATTTTTTTTAAGTTGAACTGTAGTCCATTTGCTGTGGTACATTCAGGTGAAGTTGTTGGCAAGGATTGTTGTTGCACTTTGACATTCAGGTGCCAAATCCCTGTCTCTTCTGTCTTATTGTTAACTCTGCCCTCAGTCTCTTTGGTGAGGTCACTGACAGGGGGCAGTATTATCCACATTCAGACACTACATATGTACATGCTCAGAGGCATTCAGAAACAGGGAGCTCCACTAAGGCATTCAAAAATATCTGTTGCACCACAGCACCACACAAACGGCACATTTACCGACAACCACATTTGCTCAAAGACACAAAAAGCAGCTGGTTTCCTGCTGTGAGGTGCATTTAATGACATCATGGAGTTAAATTTGGGAAAAGTTTATTAAAACACAGAGGACCCAAAAAGCTCCTGATCAGGCTTTTAATCAAATGTTTGTGGGTTCAAATCCCTGGACCTGGCAGCACTGCGGAGCATTCAGAACACTCTTACCAAAGTGAAAAATCCCACTGTGTGTGTTATGGTGTGGTAAATGTACAAAGTAACTTCCATAAAGGTACCAGAAAAAACCATGGTACTGTACCAGTGTACAGTCATTGTGTTTCTGTGTGGACAAACATCAGCTTAAAATCCATAAAATCCCTTCAAAACTGCTTTTTACACCGAATGCAAGAAATAAAGTTGCATTTACTGCAAGTTCACTCCTGTGGGACAAATTACAATAAATGATTGAGTTTGAAATCATCTCTGTCTTCACAAATTGGGTCCACACCCCCTACTTTGGAAATCACAGGCTCAAGGTGACACACATTTTATAGGGTAAATAATATTGTTAGCAAAAATTCATTTTTTCTTGGTTGACAAATGACAACCATGATTATGCACATTTCACATTTCCCAGCATGCTTTAGTGGTGCTTTTCTCATGCTGCTGTACTCGGGTGACTCTGAGCACTTAAACGCCTCTTAAACAACTGCTTTCAATTGGTGGCGGTTTCAAATCAGTTAGCTGTGTTGCTAGCTAGATGCTAGCAAGTCAAATGAGTTGGCTTCACCAGTAATAGCCTAATGAAGAGGAGGGGTGGAAGGGGGGGTCCGTTCACATTCAAAACACTCCCCATAAACTTGAGATTTTCAAATAAATGTGTGTGCGTGTGTGTGTTTTGATAGAACTACAGTCGTGTGTGTGTGTGTGTTGAGATGTATATTTAAACTCGTATGCCTTTTCTATTTTTATAAAGGTTTTATACTTCCCTCGTGTGTCAGGGAACTATTTATTGCTTAAATTATTTATCCGACTAAACATTGTCTTGGAAAAAAATGTGAAAAAGTCTGAAATGATCAACTTGATCTCCTGTGTTTGCTGTGTGTTTGACGAGTGTTTGTGAAGTGTTGTTGCACTGTAACTGGACTGTTTGAACCGGTCTGTCTTCAACGACAGGTAATTGAAGAAAGCTCAGGTATTTGAAACCCACAAGAAAATACAGAGATTTTTTTCACTGTTGTTGTTGAACTAGATCATCATTATCATGAAGAAAAACAGACTCCAAATAACTGTAAAACTACCAACTGGCCTTGTGGTTAAAGAGTCAGTATTGTTATCAGAGATGTAATTACCCCTGTAGTGTTAATGGAGTACTGCAACATCTGAGGTTGGCTATAATTTAAAAACAATATAAAGAAATTTGTGATACAAATTGATGAAAGTTCAGTTTAGATTCACAAAAAGAACAAGATGCAGCGTTGACTTCAGAACAACTTAGTCAGAAATGTGTGAAAACGTATGGAACACGGTTAACAAACAAATGTTATCCTGGAGAGAGCTAAATGCTAAAGAGAAACTTATAAAGAATAGCCGAATGTTTACTGGGAGCAGCTAAAGGTTAGTTGGAAAAAGCTCAATACATCATCATCACATGCGACCATGTGATTCCAGCTGTCACAGTCCTGCCTTTAGATGTCACTAATTCTCACACACTGTGTGTAAAGACAGTGATTGAGAGCAGAAGTTTAAATTCAGTGACTATCTGGAGGCTCTGTTCTGTCTGCTGTTTAGAAGTGTACGTGTGTGTGTTCATTGCATCTCTGATTAAGGCTGCTGTTGTTGTTCTTTTGTTGGTTTTGGGGTTAAGTGTATGATTTTCCTGCTCTCATTAACGTGTCGGGAAGTGATGTCATTCTGTTTTTGTTTTACTGACATTTAACTGGATCAAACGCAAAGCCTTCACTCATCTTACAGTCGTTTACACATTTCACTGTAGTCCCCATAGATCTGGACACAGGTTTTTAATTGGACCTGTCTCCTTGTCCCAACTCTGTATTGTGGTCCAATAAAGTCAACACAAACATAAAAAATACATTTTTAAAAATCAGTTTATTGAGTGTAAAGGTTGAAGGCAGATGAGTCAAGCTGATGAAGAAGATCTATGTGTGTCTTTCGTTAATTCCTGCCATTATATTCACGTTGTGTTCAACTAAACAGGCCCAGGCATCACACTGACTAGGAAACTGCTGAGTAATTTCAAACTAGTATATCATTACATTTTATGTTTTCCTTCATGAAGTTTTTGTTTAAGGGAGTGCCGTAGATATTTTTATGTAAAACATATATTCTGTAGCTCAGAAAAATGTTGAACAAACACATAATAACACATTAAGGCAGGGCTACAGTATGAAGAGGTTCTTTTTAACGGTTAGAAAACATTTGACCAAAATATAATGATAGAACCCGTGACAGCTGTTGGTAACGCCTGAACGACTCATTATGCTTAAGTGACTTAACGTCCATTTTAGAACTTTTTGACTCAAATTATAGCTCCTCAGCTTTTGCAGTCAGGCTCTTAAATCCTTCATGCTTTTTTTCCAGGGCATTCATTTGCAACCATAGGCTAGAGCAAAGTAACGGAGTCCGTTCCTTACTTAGTCTCTATGGTTGCACAAGGCTAATTAAAACACTCCTGGTAAAAATGCGTCTTCTTTGCCTCTCTCCCTCCATTGCTGTTTAACCTACGTGTGTCTCCCTCTTGTGTTTGTCTGTTTTGTTTTTGTGTCTCCAGATCTTCTTCCTGTTTGCCCTAGCATGTCGATGTGGCGTCACCCTTCATCGTCCAGTCCTTCTGTGTCCCCCGCTGCCTCTCTGATGCTTCCAGTTTCACCTTTGGTGTTATGTTTGACCTTTTTTTTTGTCCCCCCACCCCCACCTCAGAGGTTTTGTGTGTGCTTTTCCTTTTTTTCTGTATTTGTGCTGTGTGCTGTCAGCAGGCAGGGGGCACTACAAAGACTGCCACTGAATGTGTATAAAGTTAGTTTAAAGAACTATTACATGCAAAAAAAAAATCTATTTTTCTATTAGTGAGTGACACAAACCACTAAAACCTTTCACATTGTTTCTGACAAATCTTTGTCACACAAGTCTAAGCTTTAAAAAGGATAGTTGTGTTTTTTTACTGTGTGGTTGTAGAAGGTGAGGAGAGTCACTGCTGACTGTATTATTATCACAGCCCCTCCGTCAGTGGACAACCTTCACATACAAACTTTATGTTGGTTCTCTCAAAGCTGTAAGATCCCGTAACAACAAATTCACAGAGGAAGTGGACAGAGGTGCGTGGAGCCACTGCTTCCTTCATTATGGGATTCCCATTGTTTGATATTGGAAATGTCAACAGACTCATTTTAGGGATAGTTTTGACGAGAATAGCTGAGTAGTCAGAGGTTTACCTGACACATCACACTGTCTCAGCCACTCGTGAATCAGCTGAAACCTTTGTTTTGTCACTGTTAACAACCACATTCTTAGTGATGGCAAACATCAACAAAACAAACAGATGTGATGGCGGACTTTAGACAGTGAAGGCCAGCAGAGGCAAAACACCTCACACTACTGTTCATGGAATTAACACAAAGTATCTTCTCAGCTCCCTGTACACTCCGTATCCATGTCAAATACTGCAGTTTTAACAAGTCTTCTGGTTCTTTAGTCATTTATTTTGTCTTGCTTGTGGCTCAGCATTATTTTTTCACAGACTGGTACACCAGCAGGGGGCAGTATAGCTGTTATTTCTGGTGTATTTAGCGGTTCATACAACCACACATACAGGAGACCTTGACATTGTACTAAATTGTATCAGCACAGAGCCCCCATACTCCAACTGTGTGTACATGCGTGTGTTATGTGTGTGCACGTGTGTCGCGTTTGTTACTGCTCACAGGAAAAAGAAGTGGTCGATTGGAGACCTGTTCCTCAGGTTAAAGACAGGATGAAGGTTATGGTCAGAGTGAGATGTTACTTCACCAAGTCGTGGCTGGGGGGTTCTGCAGAGGTTGGACAAATGAATGACAGTCAATTTAACGTTCTAAATGATGAGCTTCACCAGGCGTGTGCGTGTGCGTGTGTGTGTGTGTGTGTGTGTGATTAATGTTTACTTGCTGTAGTCCTGGGAGGTTCCCACGAGGCTTCAATGTGACTACATGAATTGAAAATAATTATTTTCAGCTCACGACTGCAACCACACAATACATTTCTGTGTTCTTTTTCTTAAGTGGAGAATCAAATACTACATCCTCAGAGGAGGGACTTTTGTCAGAGTTTCATTTAGTAATGGAGTGTGTGTTTTCCTATTGATTTTATTTGCTATGAAGTTCTTGGTAAAATGTGATCTAGTTTGTGTTTTAATTAAAAACTCCAAAATAAACAGGTGCCAAATATTTTGCACTACCACAACACTTCCATGTGTCGTCTTTTATTGATAGAAAAGGGTCACAGACTTTTCAGGAATTTAACTCAGAAAAGGATTATTAGAAGATAATAATGAACACATCAAAAGCTTTACGACACACAGTCAAACTGATGACTTCGGTTCAACAGTGTTTCTGTCTCAACATGTTTTTCAAGGAATAACTGGTGACTGTTTTATTTCAGGTAAATATTCAGAACTTTAATGAAATTTGAATTAAATTCATGTAGAATTAGAGTCTGCTATGAACCTTTCTTTTGTCTGGTCAATAGTGCAGTGGATAGGATTAGGAGATTTTTTTATGGCTGATATTATTTGTACCTGAAAGGTGTGCCAATATACACCATACAACACAACAGACCGGCTAGATTTAATTTAAGGAATGTCTTTTTTTTCTTAAGCAGGAGATCCTCGCAAAAGTGATCTAGATCAACGAGTGTGCTGGTTTATCAGTATTATTTGAGTTTTATGACATCATGTATATTTAAAAGGTACGTTTTTACAAGGATTTATGGGAACACAAAGGGTGCGTGTAAATGCAGGTCTACTGACAGCCGATAGAGGGCGGTAAATACAGAGTTGCTGCTTCTGGTACGTTTCAAACTAATAGAGAAAGAAGAAGAAGAGCAGCTCATCCTGAGTGATTGCGAGTGATCGGCAACGAAGGTGTTTGATGTTTTAATACACTTTTGGTATTGGAGAACTTTCTGGAATTTTCTTCCTGCTGTGAGAGAAAAGAGATAAGATGGCGACCACCATCAGCACCCAGCGAGGACAGGTTTGTGTCGATTGTTCTGTGTTTACACTGTCACCGCCAACAGGAAGTAGCATCTTCCTCGGTAAAGTACAGTCCACAGGACAGAACAATCAGTATAAACACGTAGTTTTACAGACAAACAGTGAGGAGGAGTTACTATTACTGCGCCTCTTAACCGTGTTTAGTCGTGTCGTTAGCAGAAAGCACAACGAATGTGTATTAAATACCTGCAGTAACGAACCACGAAGAAATATGCAATTTAACAAAGACTATTTTGGTCTCAGATGTTATTGTAATATTAGTGTTACAGTGGTGAATTAAAGATAACATGGTATGAGCTGTTGAGCTAAAGTTACTAATCACAGAGATTGACTTACTATAACAACGTACTGAGCCAAGCAACTCAACAATCCTACTGTAGCAAGGAACTTCTAGGGTAATGTACGTAACTATCGGGCTAAGTAAGTAACGGACTAGTAAAGAAACTAGTAAAGTATAGAAATGTTAGTATCAAACTATAAATGTAACAGGGAAACTGGTGTATGCCACAAGCTAATGTGATAACATTTGACATGCCAATTTTACAAGCTAAACGACGACATATCAATGTCAAATGCTAATTTAACAAGCTAAAAAGCCAAATAAACCACCCAAACAAACCAATGAAACGAAAAAATTATATAAACTAACGGGCAGTTTGGATGATACATGTGAGCAGCTAATAAGCTAGAGCACCGGTGGCCATGTAGATCGGGATCTACCAGCAGATCGCAAAGGGAGTACTAGTGGATCATGAGCTATAATAATAATTAAAAAAAAAAGTCACAATTGTCCTAAACTTGAACGGGGGGAGGGGAGGGCAGGTCAGGAGCAGATAGATGGAGCGTTCGTGTGAATTAAGATTAATGACATGTAAACGTACGCCATCTTTTGGGGAAACGCGGGTATTGCAGGGAAAAGGCAGATGTTTAATGATAATATAAATAATAATATAAGTTTTATTTGAAAAGCTGCATCCGGCCTCCGGTCCTTAATTTGCCCATGCCTGAGCTAAGTATTTGTTGTAGCGTTTCACTCCCGTTAAATATTACCAGGTAAAAGAAGGATTATTATTATTATTTTAGTGCTACTGTGATCAACTTTATGTTCGGGCTATTACTGAAATAAAAAAAGTTTAGGTTAGGAATGAATCACAAATTATGTATTTATATATACTTTATAACATACTATTCTTCTTATTCTATGGCCTGTTATGACTAAAACTGTACTTTTTCTTTTTATTATATATTATGAATTATGTATTTTTGAATGTTTATATATATATATATATATATATTTAGGCACATATCGGGGAGCTTCCTCAGGACTTCCTGCGGATCACTCCCACCCAGCAGCAGCAGCAGGTCCATATGGATGCTCAGGCAGCCAGGCAGTTGCAGTACGGTGGATCCATTGGCACAGTGGGCAGACTTAGCATCACTGTTGTCCAGGTAAGAAGTCAAACGTTGTTCAGTTGACACTATTTCAGGTGTGTTGAGCTTTATTTTATCACATGGAAAAACCTCTGCTACAGTTGGATTTAATTTTCCATTTACTGACATCATGTTGCTGCTGCTGTGTTTAGGCCAAGCTGGCGAAAAACTACGGAATGACACGAATGGATCCATACTGTCGGATCCGACTAGGCTACGCAGTCTATGAGACGCCAACTGCTCACAATGGAGCCAAGAACCCTCGCTGGAACAAAGTGATTCAGTGCACGGTTCCTCCCGGCGTGGATTCCTTTTACTTGGAAATCTTTGATGAGGTGAGGATCTTTGCAGGAGTGAACTTTATTTTCTGAGCTCTTCATTTACATTACACTGGAGGATTGAAATATACCCACTTACCGTTATCATAAGATATTCTAGTATACAGCAATGCCTTGTATTGATTCTTACCCCTGACTTACCCTTCTTTTAGTCCTATTTAGCTGTGAGTTCTTTATTTACTCCACAGAGAGCATTTTCTATGGATGACAGAATTGCATGGACTCACGTCACTATTCCTGAGCGTCTGAGGGATGGCACCGTGGTGGATGAGTGGTTTAGTCTCAGTGGAAGGCAGGGTGACGACAAGGAGGGCATGATCAACCTGGTCATGTCTCTGGCTGTGAGTACAGTTTGGAGAGTCAGAAATCCTAAGGGATTGATTTAATGTAAAAACTATTAGGTCTGTTGAACCTAATGTTTAAAGTAGCAGTATAACAGAACATTTGCTAAAATCAAAGAGAGAAATTAACCAATTATAATAACTAATTATTTACTTATTGTAAGTAGAAAAAATATTCCAAATTAGCTAAATGTTGCTCAAATAATTGGAAGATTAATAAAAAAAAATTCACTACTTAATTTGCCACACGGTCAGCAAGAATTTATATTATAACTACACAGAAATGAGAGCCTGGGTTGCTGCTTAGACTGTGTATTCAACATACTTAACATTCAAAAATATAACTGCACATATTTAATATGTACTGTAACAAAGAGTGATGCATCACTAAGTGGTGATGAATTTGTAAAAATGTCTGATAACAGACTTTAAGTGACAGAGTGACTTTTTTTTTCAACCAAATTGCCAGTAATTGACACTGTCATGTTTATGTTCATGTTAGTGCCTTTTTAAAACATGGGTATTCTAGACACATGTTCAGAGTATCTGTAGAACATGTACTCATGATATAGTGTACTGTATGCCAAAGAGGCACTGAGTTTTACACTGACATGTTGGGAACTAGTCCAGATGAACTGTCCTCAGATTGAGGGTTCAGTCTCCATCAAGTAACAGTGTCACATATGATAATGATGATGATGATGTAGGAAGGTGTAACGTTTGTGAGGATGTGATTGTGGTGAGTGATGTGCTCTAACCCTCAGTGTGTTTGTGTCTCAGACCATACCAGCANCTCGGACCGTGCCAGCAGTAATGATGTCTCAGCCCGTGGTGGTGATGCCTTCAGTGTATCAACAGGGAGTGGGATATGTGCCCATCACAGGTGAGACACAAAACATGCACACAGTGGAAAAGAGTGGTCCCACATAATGTTTTCATTTTTGACCCTTCCATAAGGAGTCAGTGGAAATTCCAGTATTTGTTCCATTGACCGATGAAAAGGCCACGCGCCTCAACACACACCTGTTTTATATCCAGTCATCTGTACCTAAAGCTGTTAGGACAAAGGTGTCGTGTTGTCTTGTTGCCTAGCATGTGGGTAAATCTTTTGTTGTTAGCTTGGGCTGTTAGCACATCCCAGGTAAAGGGGCGGGGGTTATTTACTAGTCTGATTTGTATCATGTGCTGTCAGGAGTGCCCACTGTCTACAACCAGGGAATGGTGCCCCTGGCCGTGCCGGGTGCCATGCCGACCGTCGGGAACCAGGAGACCATGTGCAGTGAAACAGAACTGAAGGCCCTGCAGGACATGTTCCCCAACCTGGACAAGGAGGTGATCCGCACTGTGCTGGACGCCCAGCAGGGCAACAAGGACGCTGCCATCAACTCACTGCTGCAGATGACTGAGGAGCTTTAACCAACACACACACACACACACAGCAGCCATATGAGTCCTGCTCTACAACTGTTTACCACAAAGAATCAGTCGTTCCCATCGTCAACTCCACTGTGACTTCTAGTAAAGGGATAGTTCATATTTTTATGAAGCGTATGAGGTACTGACATGTAGTTCTGCCAGAGCTCATCGCTACAACTGCCACCTGCTGGCCATTTTAAGTCTACAATACCTTGAAGAGTTTGTTCCCTGGTTACTTTAACAGGAAAATTCTAGGGGTTTGTTTCAACCGTCATGCTTTTAACACCAAAGTCCATAAAGAACAATTTGAATTCTCAGTTTGGAGAAGCACAGAGGCTTCTGATCTACTGCTGCCTCATGTGGCTGGTTTGTGTAACTGCAGTTAACTCAAACTGAGTGACTGGTCCAAGTATTTGCAGCAGCAGCAGTGGATCAGCATCTTCTCTCTGCGCTCATGTCCAACCACTAACAGTCGCAGTTTCAGTCTGAATTTCAATTAATTTTTTCAAAAAATGTATCAATGTTATTCTTTCAACCAATCAAAAAAGGTCTCTTTGCACAGACCTGAACTATTCCTTGAAGAGTAGAAGTAGCCTTGGCTTTCTCCACAAACACACTGGAGCCTTCCACAACACCACTGCGTTAACCTTTGACCTTCAACTGGTTGTTTATTGCTATTATTGACACACAGAAGAGTTCATGTCATTTTTTTTAATTAGCTGTTTTTATCAGTATCACACGATCTCCCAGCCCTAATTACTAATCACAGCGTGCCCCACGTAAGTTCTGCGTCTCTCAGTTCTTGGTGGTATTAGAACCTGCCTCCAGTCATTTGCCGTGAGCAGCTTCATGTTTTACAGTTGTATCTGTACCATGTTTAGTGATTAAGTGAAGTGAATTGGTTAAGTTATTATAAAGTGTATTTCATGACTGTAAATACTGAGAGTAAAGACAATCTGTTTCAAACTACAGAAGCTGTCATTGTGTCTCAGTGTGAGGCCTGTGTTTGACAGAATCATGGGTAAAAACCATGTCATGGTTGTTGTAAAAACTGATGTTCCAGTTGATTTAGGTGATCATCCCCGCGACCTTTTAGAAAGCTGATTCTTAGTTGTCCTCTAAAGTGTTGCCTGTACTGTTTGGTTCTTAAGGACTCACAACTTGTAGAGTGCTGAAAAGACGGAGCCAAAAGCAGTGATATGAACTCAGCAGCTGTGAGGATCAGGAGAGCATTAGCCTGTGGAGAACTCTGGTTTGGTTCATGTTTTATTTCTAATCATTGCAGAATCGTTCATGTATATTTTTAGGAAATCCAGTCTGTTCGGTTCCATAAACACAAATATAACAACTGATTATTTCATTTTATTTTGAATGTCCAATAATGTCTGTACACAGACTCTACCGACTATCCTTACTACTGTGTGTATTTATGTGTATATTTGACCACATTTGAAAAGTACAATTAACCTATTTATGTGATCCCAAAAATATTAATTTTATTTTCTTTACTAATAACATTAGTTGTGTTAAGACAGGGCAGAACATGGACAGGCCCACTGGGGTCTTGATTGGACAAGCTCATTACAGTGACAATCATCATACACCTGCATTCATGCTTTGAATTAAAAATCATTCCATATTTGGCTTTTGGAAATGTGAGATTTCCAACCTGTGTGTTTACGGAACGTTTTTTTCTGAAGTAGAAACGTTGAAAAACTCTGGACCCTGACATGGTGGTTTACGTCAGAGCCGACTGCAGGCTTAGCACCCCCTGCTGTAAAGTTAGCAAGGGAGCCAGAGGCTAACAACAAAAAAAAAGTTTTCTTTAATTCTACCATTTGTCAAGAGTTTCTTTTCCTCTATCCTTATCAGTCTTTTCCAACGAGGAACAAAGGTTTCCAAAATGTTCTCTCCCTTCATAATAATCATTGATAGAATCTTGAACAGGTGTGGAGTTCAGGTTTGAGATTCCTATCTTCTTTTTAAAGTAGATATAAATATTTTTCTGTGTGCTGAAATCTATGTTGTCTCTACAGAGTACTGTAGGGGGCACTCACCACCTTAGAGCTTACTCTGTCAGTATCCCATGTTACGACTCTTCCTACAGAAACTTCATGGAAACCTTTTGTGGTTAATGTTTTTGTGCTTTAAATATATCTGTCCTGTACAGCAGGCTGTGAAACCACAAGCAGAGCTTTAAATGTTGGTTTTCATTACAGTATTTAACAGAGTTATTAAACATAACCTTTTCTAGTTTGTGATGCATCATATGCAGTCTGCCATTGGTTCCATGTTTGTGCTGATAAGGTTTTGGTGATGTTATGAAGTCTGTGTTTATCCACTGTCTGTCCACTGCGTTAGCGTCTGGAGCTGCTCACTTCATTTGCATATTTTCAGAATACTAATTTAAAGCTGCTATCTGTGGAATAATTTGTCCAAATCTCTATTAAATAGCTCTATACTGGAACATTGATCAGTGGTCTACTTTTATTATTTACTTCATATCTGCTCAGTCTAGCCCAGCAGGTGTAGAGAGACATGATTCCTGATTAGATTATAAACTATATAACGAATAAAATAGCACTATAGCCATAGCTTCACTAATATTCTGGAATTGCAAAAAAGTGAACTTTCATTTTCTTAAACTTTTTTTATTTTAAGTTAGTTTAAAAGTGAACTTTCATTTTCTTTAAACTTTTTTTATTTTAAGTTAGTTTCATGCAAGAGTGTAAGTTAATGCCTTTCAGTTGAATAACTCACCACACTAGAAACATTAGATCTACTATCAAGTACGTTAACTACCTAGCAAAATAAGCTAAGTCCCTTTCGATAAGAAGTTAACATTTCAGTAAGGTGAAATTATCAGGATATTGGGAAGCGTCTGCTATTAGTAAAACAGCCCTCACCTTCACCAATGTAGCCATACAGATAGCTGGAAAACGAAATTATATATACAAATATAATTTATAAATTACATAGATATGAATAAATATGAAAACCTACATTCATCATAATAATCGTGGGGCTTTTATTGTGAAAAATTAAAAAGTGACCTATTTTGACGCAATGGGCGTTTGTGTGCGTGACAGCTACAAGTGACGCTAACACCCGGGTGTCCAACGAATTGTTATTCCGAGCATTAAAAAGAACATTAATAACGAATTATGTTGAAACAAATAAATGGACTGCAGTTGTTTACAGAAGTTAGAGTTAACGTCGTTGTTTAGTTTGTGCAGCACAGGTGACTCTACTTAACGGTGACCAAACAAATAGAGCGACCGAGAGCGGGAAACGGAGTCAGACATTTGCTAGCAAAGCTGCAAAACCAACACGGACTTGTACAGGAACACTGACCAGGTAAAACATCGTAAACATTACAAAGACTTGTTATTTTCTATGTCATTGGTTATTAGTGTTGGGAAGACCGACTGTTTTTACTGATTCGGATCTTTTACTCTCGAACAGTAAAATGAACGAAACGAATCCTTTCATTCTTTTTACAGCAGGTGGCGCTGTAGCCCTATTGTGGGCGTTGTAAAGAAGGCTGCGGTTCTCCGACACTTAATACTGTAGGCAACATTGTTTGCTTCGGCTGACGGTCTAATACACAAAATGCCATAAGCAATTCAAACCATGTGAAAACCTAAGAAAGAAAAACACCATAATAAAGTGACCTGTGTCCTGCATCCTCCCTGTCATTGTTGTTTAACAGCGTGGCAGTGACTAGGATGAATGAGGGCAAAAAAGACCCGAGCTGTCTGTCATGTGACAAGTGGAACGAATCTGTAAATGAATCTGAATTTGTATTGTTACCACTAATACATTTAATTTTAATTGCCTGCTCCTTTAATTGTGTCTTGTGCACTTTCTTTCCAAGTAGAGCTGTATAAACAGACCTGGAGTTGGTTTACAGACAATTTAAGACAAAGACTACACTGGGAGTCAACATAGAGTGGTGTGCACTAGATCACTACACAGAAATAGGAGTATACTGGATTAGAAAACATGGGCTGATGTGAGACTAAGTTTCTGTTGTTCAGACAGAAGGCAAAAGTCAAGTGTAAACACAGGTTCTTCCTACCTGCTGATGCTAATGACTCTGCTGATAATGGACATTTTCTTGTATCATACTTGGGCAGTACTAATGCCACAGCTGACCATTGTACGTTACTTATCATGTTCATGTTATTATCAGGCTAGGTCCACCAAGGTGTTTTATATTTTCCACTGTATCCATGTTTTGTCCTTGTGCTAAGAGTTGATGGGGAAAGTCACAGATAGTCACAGTTCATGGTCATCACAGGAACAACTACCATTTAAGAATTCAGACAAAGCTGAGTTTCTGTTGCAGGAAAATTATTTTATTCAATTACAATCATCCAAGAAAAATCTGAAATAAGAAGAGCTTAAATCCAAAAAGAACGTGAAGTTATAATTTAAACAAACATAATGAAACAGATCTTAAGAGATTTAAAGAAAATTAAGGCTCATGGTTGTTCAGTCCAGTGATCAGTCCGATGTTGTGGAGCCTTCAGCGTCTCCTACGGCGTTTGGATGTGGGAACACACTCAGCTGCGCGGCAGATGCATGACTCTACTTTGATGTAAGTGTGCTGCACCACATCACCGTTCTCACACATCAGGGAAACCTGGAGTTGGCTGGTGGCATCTTCACGACAGCACTCGCACTGGTGCACCATGGCGTTGGCCGACGCAGAGTACCTGTAGGACATCACATTAGGACACGATGATGGTAGTTTAGTTGAGTCTTCAATAGAAGAACAACCTTATCTTAATAAGCACAATTATTGCCGTTATTGATAATCAAGATTATATATAATATTAATTATATATAATATTGAGATCACGATTAAGTGAAAGTGAACTACTTGTCATTGTAACACATCATATTACTGCCACGCTCAGAGCACCACAGTGGTAACTTGGCAGCTGGTGGACTCAAATCTGAAACCTTCTGGACCCAACTCCGCTTCCTTAACCACTAAGCCACCACTGCCCTTTTGTTATTATTAGTCTATTGATTATTAATCTATTGAGTATGATCATTAGTCACAATTATTCATTATGTTCTGTATAACATAATTTTCAACATTACGTCTCACTCTCACATTATAGCTAGTATAGCTTCAGTATGAGATTATCTATTCCTGTTGATTTTGCTGTGTGTTAGGTTGACTAACAGTAAATCACTCAGCTGTATTTTCTTTAAAAAAAACCTTAATGTCAAGACTGGCTACATTACCTCCTTGGATCCTACAAGATTCTTTTCAGATGTTAAATTTTACAGTTAGTGTTTGACTCACATGGATGAGCTTCCACAGTGTCCAGCGCAGTATGTGAGGTTCACCGTCTGAGCGCTGATGCAGCCGTTCACTTCCAGGGAAGTCACATTGCTGCCAAGTTTGCACCTCTTCTTTGGTTGGCCTTTAAACACACACACACAAAGAGTGAGCTGCTGTTCTGCTGAAACAACAGTTTTGTCCTAAGAGTTTGTAGGTATTGGTGAAGGACTTACATGTTTGACAGCAGGCATTAGCATCGGTGGTTTCAGTGCCCTAAAGTGGAGGACAGCAGAATGTGAGTTGAGATGCTAGGTCCAGAAAGTGGAACATTTCTAACACATTTGTCATTTCCTTTTTGTAATTATGAAACGGACTCCTTTAAAACCAAACCTCCATGAAGGTTCTGTAACAAGGAATCCTTCCATGTACTTTGCCGTTTCGCACATGTTCATGTCTTTTGTTTAGTTATATTTGCATATCAAAGGCCAGATACATTTAAGATGAAAAGAGATTAAGAAAAACCCAAATCCTAGTCAATGTTTCTGAAAATATGGCTAAAGAGGAAGAAACATTTCATCCCAAAGTTCAAGTCATTAGCCCTAAATACAGCAAAACAGCCAAGCTAAAAACTAGTGATGCAGTAAAATAAAAATTGTTGGCCGAAACCAAAAATGAGGATACCAAGGCCGAAAACTGAAACAACAAAAAAAATTATGCCAAATATTAGTACCACTGCATTTATCGCTATGACTGTGAACTAAACCTCAATAGAATTAAGGATATTGCTAAAGGGCTAAAATCTCTAAAGAATTGATAATCCTTTTAAACACTTCACAGGAGCAATAGCAACAAAAACTCACAGGTTCACATTCATCAGGATCGTAGTAGGGACATGTCGTTCTTATCTCTGTGGTTTGAGGTTGTCCGTTGACGTTCTTACACTCATAATACACACAGGGATCATCAGGTGGCGTATATGTCTCATTGACCTGTTTCCACAAAGTGAGGAGATTAAAGAAAAGACATAAATGGAAGGTTTCCGTAAGTTGCTTCAACCTGTGCTCAAGAGTCTAGGAGAAATGTTAGGACAAAATCTGCGTCCAATCGTCCAATTCTTGTCAGTGAATGTCTTAAAATATGATTTTCTGCAAACAATTTCATCATTAATGTTCCATGTCCACAGCTAGAAAGAAGTGTATGTTGTCTCCATCACTAACCCCAATGATGTGTGTGACGTTGTCAGGTGTGGTGTAGATGCAGCTGGTCTGGACACAGCTACCGCAGCATTTGGCTGGGTCGGTCACGTACTCAAATCCCTGCAGATGAGAAGACAAAGAGAAAACCTTCATAAAATGGTTGTTACTGAAAGATGTCTGTCAATGTCAAAATCTGATGTGTTGGCCGTTATAGTAAATGTTTTAGTTTAGCTTTTAACTACATTTAAAATATATGTATAAAGTGGTAAATAACTAAAAACAAAAAAGTCCGCTTTTAGCAGAAAGTTTGGCTTGGTCAAACAAATTACATTAGTGTTTGTTTGGCAAAAAAATAATAGCAAAACAGTTTTTATGAAACAGTTTGACTAAGAATTTAAAAACCTTACTGGTTACCAAAGCTAGCCTTTGGGGTTAACCCAAAAATATTTACAGATCTTACTTGAGGCAAAAGTGAAAGGTATTAGCTAAAATTTTCGAAAACATGAATTAAGAAAACTTGCCAAAATGACATAATTGTTTATCTACAAAAGCCAATTGACCCACACATTGGTAGTGATATAAATAAAATTGGCACAGAAGAAATATAGTTAAATTTACTACAGACGTATTTTTAGTTGATCCAATACATCCAAGATAAGCAAAAATCCCTGAAGAAGTTGAAAAAAAGCTAACTCAAAAAGCATGAGTAACTTCAAATAAAAAATAAAAACATTAATAAACCCAGAATGGCCAGAAGTTACTAAAAGAAAGAAGAATGCCTCTAACTTATATTATGATACCAGACACAACTAAAAATATAGCCAAAAAATAACAAAGGGAAGGAGAACCTACTTCTTGACAGTCTGTCTCGCAGACGATTGGTTCACAGCTCATCATGTTCAGCCCAGTCACAGGGTCCTTGCTTGGACCACAATAACACTCTTCACAAGGGCCTGGAACATTGGGTAATGATGTTGTTGTTGCTCCTCCACCACCACCTCCTGGTGATGTCGTTGTTGTTTCTCCTCCACCGCCACCCCCTGGTGATGTTGTTGTAGTTGTTTGTCCTCCACAACCACCGCCGCCTGCTGATGTAGTTGTAGCTGAGGTTGTTGTGGTTGCTCCTCCTCCTCCGCCGCCTCCTGGTGTTGTCGTTGTTGTTTCTCCTCCACCGCCACCCCCTGGTGATGTTGTTGTAGTTGTTTGTCCTCCACAACCACCGCCGCCTGCTGATGTAGTTGTAGCTGAGATTGTTGTGGTTGCTCCTCCTCCACCGCCGCCTCCTGGTGATGTTGTTGTTGTTGCTCCTCCACCGCCACCTCCTGGTGATGTTGTTGTAGTTGTTTGTCCTCCACAACCACCGCCGCCTGCTGATGTAGTTGTAGCTGAGATTGTTGTGGTTGCTCCTCCTCCCCCGCCGCCTCCTGGTGATGTTGTTGTTGTTGCTCCTCCACCGCCACCTCCTGGTGATGTTGTTGTTGTTGCTCCTCCACCGCCACCTCCTGGTGATGTTGTTGTATTTGTTTGTCCTCCACCACCACCGCCGCCTGCTGGTGTAGTTGTAGCTGAGATTGTTGTGGTTGCTCCTCCTCCACCGCCGCCTCCTGGTGATGTTGTTGTTGTTGCTCCTCCACCGCCACCTCCTGGTGATGTTGTTGTTGTTGCTCCTCCACCGCCACCTCCTGGTGATGTTGTTGTTGTTGCTCCTCCACCGCCACCTCCTGGTGATGTTGTTGTAGTTGTTTGTCCTCCACCACCACCGCCGCCTGCTGATGTAGTTGTAGCTGAGAGTGTTGTGGTTGCTCCTCCTCCCCCGCCGCCTCCTGGTGATGTTGTTGTTGTTGCTCCTCCTCCGCCACCTCCTGGTGATGTTGGTGTTGTTGCTCCTCCACCGCCACCTCCTGGTGATGTTGTTGTTGTTGTTACTCCAGGTGAAGCTGTAGTTGTGGTAGTTTCTTCAGTAGTCGTGGGAGGTTCTATTGGTGGCTCTGGTGATTCTGGAGTTGGAATCTTCTCACCAGGCTGTAAAAACACACCAAGCTTGTGTCAGTTCTTCAATTTCAAACATACAGTATCTACAGAGGGATGAAGGCCACGGTTTGGAGTGTGTTCTCACCTCGTACTCAGTCATGTTGTATATACACACATCCTTTGGCACTGCAAAAGCAAATGACATTAACGTTAGTCACCAAAAATGTCCTGAAATTGTCCTTGGAAAAACGTAAGGTAAATAACACGACATTGAGCAAAAAGGCTTGGAATTTTACCAAAATATGGTGGAAAAAGCTAAAAGTAAGCCAAATACATATACAGCTAATTAGCTAATAGTGGAGTCAAAGACTCGAGAAACAGAAATGAAGGTTAGGTTATGTAAGGGAAACAGCAGTTTTCTGCGTGTATCTTAAGTGTAATCTGAAGTCATTTCAGTAGTAACTGAAACAGTTTTTATTTTATTTTATTTGTCAGTGTTTACAGCATGAACGACACACGTACCACACTCGTAGACAATACAGCAGTCGCCTTGAGTCACGTTGAGTTCGTACCCTAGCTCGCAGGTGATTGAAGCACCACAAAGGTTGGTGTTGCATTCTGAAAGAAAAAAATTACATTGATCTTGACGTAGTCTGATATAAAAATATTTTAAAATGAAAACAGTGCCTGAGTGATGTAATCATGCTGATCATGTGACACTAGGACTGACCACATGACTGCGTCATACAGCAGCCGCTTGTATCGTTGACCAGCTCGTATGGAGAATCGCAGACGAGCGTCGGTGGTTCCTGACAATCGACAGGCTCACACTGAATATTCAGGGTGTCCTCGTCACACCGGCAGTTCTTACAGTCGTTCTCCCAGGTTTCACCAGGCTGAGAGGGAGACAAGTGGATAGAGATGGAAAAATGGGGACAGAGGGAGCATGATGGAAGGTGAAGAGAGAATGGCAAGGAAGACGGGCAAAAAGAAAGAGAGGATAAAAGTGCAAGAGGGAGATGGACACAGAGTGACAGAAGAAGATCAGGGGCGAGGTAGTGATAACGAGGGGGGCAGCAAGAGGGTGAAAGATGGATAGATTGAGATAGACAGAGTGACAGATGTCGGAGTGAGAGGTAGGGTGGAAACAGAAGGAGCAAGTAAAAGGAAGGAATATGGGGCAGATAGAGAGGGAGTGAGCCATTGAGACAGAAAAACAAAAGAATAAAATTAAAGGTGGATGCTCAGAGAGGCAGCACGCCTGGTCTGGAATCAAACCAGAAGCTTCACTGATGGATAAACGCAGCTTCCCCACCTGTTTGGGTTGTCCATCTGGTCCAATGCAATCTAAAGATCAAGAGAATACAGGGGCAGGGTAGAGGGGGGATTTTCAGCATTTTCTGGTCCACATAAACAAAACCTTTTTATTTCTCAGTTCTATGTTCTCACCACAGGCAATGACACAGGTGTCGTAGATGGTGTTGAACAAGGTGGTTTCATTGGTACAGTAACAGCCCTCATACGTTGTGTCATTCTTGTTTTGACCATTTCCATTATTGTTTTTCCACTTTTCGTTGTATCTGATGTTGGGTACAGAAAACACTTGATCATGATATGAATACAACTTTTTACAAAATGCTTTTCTAGGATTTAGTGTTTAGAGTCCTTTGTTCCTTTATGTCGGTGGTTTAGCAGATCACCGCAGGCCGTGTCGGACCAGCAGTCGCTATGTCCAAACAATGCCAATTATTTAAACAGTAGCTTTTGTGTTGCTTCAACATAAAATCACTGTTTCAGTTGTTGCAGAGGAAAGGCTAATAGCAAGATAAAGTTAGGAACATTTAAAAAAATGATAGCTGTTCCAAAAAATAAGCCCAAACCACATTTTTAACATGTGGCCTACTTTACCTTTGATTACATATGTCTTCCACAATTTCACCACAGGCCTTGTACACCTGGTCGACAGGACATGTGACCTCTGAAAACAGAGAAGGTTTAAAGATCTCCACAAATTAACTGTTCAACTCCAGGTTTTATTCAGTTAAAGCTCTGATTGCTCTCACCGCACTGCCCATTTGTGGCACTCCTCCAATCAATGCAAACTCCTTTTTGACTGCACTCAGTGGCATAAGCCTCCAGACTGGCACATGTGTTGTTTTCGTTTTTGCATACGTCATTTCTGCAGGTTTCCACATAATGTCCTGGAGGGATCACTGAGTGGCACGACTGGAACACACTGTAGAGATTTTTTGTAATATTATAGTTTTTTTACATATTTCTGGGCATTTTATGCATCTTCTAGTACGTGATATAGTTAAATGTTTGCCCCTCCATTTCTTTAAACTGCTTAGTTAAATGAAGAGGAGTAATATGTGTTTTTGTCAGTGCTGAGCATGTAGCATACCTTTTCCATCATCCAAATGTACTGTAACATTGTTTTATGTAAATCAAATCTTGAATCTTTCTACACAACAAATTAAGAAAATATTTATAGGAAAGACTGAATGTCTACGAAATACTGTATAAGAAAGGCACGTCACAAAACACTCTCGACTTGTAGCCTGTTATCACACCCAGCTAACCTTCCTCAGGTCTTAATGTTCACCATTTTTACCTGGAGGAGAGGAGATCACAGATCTCAGGTCTGCATGGATACTCAGTTGTAGTTGTTGTTGTTGTGACAATGGTGGTTGTCGGTAGAGTTGTGGGAACAGCACAGGTTTCTGAGTTCCACTGGTCTGCAGAGTCGGGGCATTGTTCCACCACCTGACCGTTTGGATATCGGCAGTCGTTGTTCTGAGAGTTATCACAGGTTCCTGTGAAGATGTGGAGCAGGATGATGACACCGCACTGAAGCACCAGGCACTAAGAAGTCTTCTTTACAGTCTTCATCTCTTGTATACCAATTGTTGAAATACTCTTATCGTTATAAAATGCAAAAAAACATGTACTGTGGTACTGCATTAGAGTTCAGCATTATGGTGTGAAGGACTTGGCGAAGGGTTCAGGAAACCTGTCCTGACACAGTGCAATACTGCATCACATATCAGAGAGTTATGATGCAGAAAGGTTGGAGTGCTCAGATGTAGTAGACAATATAAGGCTTTTAATAGGATGTTAAAAACCTCGTCTGGGACTAATCCTGGCTTTGTCAGATGGTAGATTAAGCCCCAACATGTGCAGGGCAATGCTTTGGAGCACTGATTACTTTTGGAGCACTGCAAAATTTTTCAAATATCCCTTGTCTATCCATTTTATATATTTGGTTATGAATCAGGAATGAGATTATCTAATAACTCACCACACAGTCCCTCAGTGTTGCCATTAAAGAGAGAATAGGAAAGGTCGATATTGAAGGAGCTGCGTCGATAGAAGAGTTTGGCTTTGATTGCAGCAATCTCCAGTGACATGACCATATCTGAGGAAGTGATTATGAAATCTGCATTGCTGAAAGCTGGATATACACGATTACCATTAAGGAACACCTGTAGGACAGGGAGAAACAGAACAGCATTAAGTCAATTACTAGAATTAGAACTGCTAGTCAAGAAGACTAAAATTGTTCCTGCTCTTCGGGTGGGGCATTCAGAGTACGCATACTATATGGGTGAAGCTAAACAGCGTGAAACAGTTTTGTTTGAAATGTATCACCCACTGTTAAATCAGAGTTTGTTTTACAGTATAGGCGGTACAACGTGTTGATTTTACTGCTTGATGTTTAGACCTCGATTTGTCGCTAGTTTTGATGCCAACAAAGCTGCATGTAGCAACAGGTAAATGCACTTGGTGGAACTAGTCTGGCACTTTTATTGATGATTGATTTTATTATCATGTTTAAATATTCAGTTTAATCCCCTAGTAAGACGTTGAAGTGAGTCACTGATGCTGTATCATTAAATACATGTTGAGTCACAAGTCTTGGTCTGGAGTGTTTTATGGCTATAATATAACTGCTTATATTTTATGATGACAATGTTTACAAAATATTACATGTTGAATAACTTCTATAGAGTGATGGTGACCTTTGCGAGGAAGAATCATTTTGGGCCCTCCCTTTGGGAGCAGGGTAATTAACTCTTTACTACTGTGAATAGTTTTTACCTTAACTTCTTGCTGTAAACAACACTGTGAATGAACCTACCATGTTTCTGTCCTTTTGGTTTCCGTTATTGCCATTGTTGGTCTTGTGTGTTTCTGTCCTTTTGGTTTCCGTTTTCATTTCCGTTATTGCCATTGTTGGTCTTGTCCTGTTTAAAGAGGACTGTGTGGGACTTGTACTGAACAATTAGGTCATGATTGCAGTTTCCGTTATTGTCGCAGGCATGCTTGTTGATCTTGACAGTGAGGTTGTGTGCCTCCCTGATCTCTTTGACCAGGTAGTAGGTACAGTTCTTGTGGAAGTCATACAGTTTTCCATCAAAGGTCTTATAATGTTTTCCATTCCAGCCGCTGCACACACCTACAAGCAAAATGTGTGTCAAGATCATGTTATGTTTTCCTTTTTTATGGTATGCAAAGCTCTAAACTATGAGTTAGCTATCTTTCAGGCTAACACATATTTATTGATGTGATAAGTTAATACTATTCTCCAAATAGATGTTAGCTAAATAAATTCAGCCTTTTAACTTTTGTAAATTTTAATTGTTTCTCCTGTAAGGTGTAGATTGGATAGTTTGAGTCTATTTTTTGGCTAACTCAATGTTATTCTTATTAAACCCTTTTTAATCAGCTCTCTAGTTTATGCTTCACAAAAGGTTTATTGAGTGCCAAAGATTTTCCACCTACATTGACATTCGTAGGTGAAGCAGCATCCATCTTCATTATAGACTTTGTTGGCTGGACGTCCATTGATACAGGTGGGTTCTTCTTGTGAGGTGTCACAGGTTCTGGGCGTCTCGGTGACGTTGCCGTTGATACATTCTGCTGTTGTGCAGTTGTCCACCTGCCAGGTTTCTCCATTCTGGTTGTGGATTAGACGACAGTTGGTCAGTCATAAATTTGGGAGCAGGGTAATTAAGTGTAGTAAAAAAAAAATTCTTTGTAACAGAAACCAGAGAAGATTATCAAAGCGTTTAGGAGGCATCATAGGGCGTTAGATTATGGTCAACTTTCGCCAAACACAAGAGCACACACTTTATATACAGCGCAGAGCAAAGTGAACGAGTGACAGGCAAGGGGAGATGCTGAGAGACGCTACGAAGCATGATCCAATCAGTGTGAGGAACAGAAAAGCATGCTCATTGCTGTGTTCGATCTCAAGGTAAAGAAAGCTACCAGAGATGTCTTTTAGTGTATTTTTTTTAGGTTAGAAATGTTATTTATTGCAAAAATTAAAAAAATATATATTTACGGTGAAATAACCCGATATAGCGAAACTCAAGATAGGGAAATTGGAATAAAATGTAATAAAATCTGCGATTCTGTGTACTGAGGGAGCAAAAGGAGATCTGCGATATAGAGAGGGAACACTGTATATACACTTACAATTTCTCTGCAGACAAAAGCCATCATGTAAACATAATAAAAATAATAATAATTAGTGATGCACCAAAATATAAATTCTTAGCCAAAACAGAAAATAAGAAAACCAAGACACCGGAATAAATTACTTTGCCAATAATTAATACCATTGCATTTATGGCTACAACTGTTTAACCTCAATAAAATAGACACTACAATTAGCATAAAACGTTTGTTTTTGACTATTATCACCTATATATATATATTAAAGATGAAAGTGCATTTGAATTTTCCGTCCGAAAGACTTTTATCATCGAAACAAAACGGCTGAAAGAGGTAGTTTATGATGACGCAAGCAAAAACCAGCGCGGGCTTGTCTGAAAGTGGCAACATGTCTGCGGTGTGGATGCATTTCAATATATCTGAGAAAGACCCATGGATGGCGTTAGCAAAATGTGTAATACTGATCCACTGGCCAGTGGGCCTGTACATTATCAATTATTGTATACAGAAGTGGGGTCAAGTTTAACATTTTATTTTGAATTTTATTTTATTTTATATTGTGCATTGTTGGAACGTGCTAAATAAATATTTTCATAATTTTGTAATTGTTTTAATCTTTGAAACTTTAATATTAATTTATGAAATGGCAGTGCCTTGATTTTATTGAGGTTTAGTTCACACTCATAGCTATAAATTCAGTGGTACTAATAATTGGCATAGTTTTTGGGGTGTTTCGGTTTTCGGCCTTCATTTACTCATTTCTGATTTTTGGTTTCGGCCAACAATTTTAATTTAGCTGCATCTCTAGTAATATTATTAATTCATTTGCATCAATACATCAATACTTTAATCATTCTAGAGTCTAAAAAATCCTTTTATAGATATCATAATAACCAATCAAAGTAGATCTTATGTTCTCACCGTTCTGGGTGGGTTCTCATAAATGCAGTCCAGGACAGTGGTCAGTGAAGTGGAGGTTGTGGATGGTGTGGAAACAGTGGTGCTAGACACTGTAGTAGTTGTTGTGCCAACTGTGGTTGTTGTGGTGGGACAAGGATTGGTCTGAGGATCCACTACACAAGATGAATTACAGTATGCAACGTAGCACCACCCAAGGCCATCAGTCACATTATACACCATGTCCCCTGGAAAAAATTCAATTGATAAGAGTTAATTTTTTTTTCACTGAGCCAAAAGAAGACTGAATACCACACAAATATGCAATACATTAGTAATTACAGTGGGGCTTCCGTTCCACAACAGCACTCGTATGTCAATCCCCTCGTATCACCAATGCATTTTCCCCATTAAAAATAACTAAAAAACAATTAATTAATTCCAGCCCTACAGAAATAATACAAATATATTGACAATATAAAATAATAATAATTCAGAAGACATTTTATATTATTGTTATAATAAACAAATATATTGACAATATAAAATAATAATAATTCAGAAGACATTTTATATTATTGTTATAAAAATGGGTAAAATAACCCAGTGAGTGTCGGGCCACTAGGGTAGGAGAAGGACTGGGAGTAAGGACTGGATTTAGACAATAGTAAGAGAGAGAGAGAGTGAGAAATGGAAAGAGAGAAATAAAGCGACTTGTAAAATAACCCAGTCAGGGACATGGAGTGACAGTGTTGTATGGAAAAATGGAGATCAGTTGAGCACTCGTAATTCGGTGTTTGAAGGAATGAAAGTGAACGACTTGTCACTCGTTTACTTAATACTTGGAAAACTTGTATTATAGCTGGTATCTTGAAGCCCCACTGTATGTGTATTTTTGTGTTATTTTGTTTATCTTTTTTGTTATGCAAGCACCTACCAGGATTATATGTGGTTCCATTGACATTGCAGACGCAGACTGTTGTAGAAGTTGTGGTTGTTGATAAACCAGTTGTGGTTTCAAGGGTCTGTGTAACCGGGCCAATGGAAGTTGTACCTGATGTTGTAGTGCTACCCTGAGATGTAGAGGTTGAAATAGTTGTTGTTTCATTAACCAAAGGATTTGTAACAACAGTGGATGTCCCTCCAGTGACAATTTCTGTGGTGGCTGACTCTGTAGTGCTCGTAGTACCACCAGTTGTTGTCGTTGTTCCTGCAGTTGTTTTGGTTGTTCCTGCAGCTGTTGTGGTTGTACCTGCAGTTGTTGTTGTTGTACCTGCAGTTGTTGTGGTTGTCCCTGCAGTTGTTGTGGTTGTTCCTGCAGTGGTTGTAGTTGTTCCTGCAGTGGTTGTGGTTGTTCCTGCAGTGGTAGTGGTTGTTCCCGCAGTTGTAGTTGTAGTACCTGCAGCTGTTGTGGTTGTTCCTGCAGCTGTTGTGGTTGTTCCTGCAGCTGTTGTGGTTGTTCCTGCAGCTGTTGTGGTTGTTCCTGCAGTGGTTGTGGTTGTTCCTGCAGTGGTTGTCGTTGTTCCTGCAGATGTTGTGGTTGTTCCTGCAGTGGTTGTCGTTGTTCCCGCAGTGGTAGTGGTTGTTCCCGCAGTTGTAGTTGTAGTACCTGCAGCTGTTGTGGTTGTACCTGCAGTGGTTGTCGTTGTTCCTGCAGTGGTAGTAGTTGTTCCTGCAGTTGTTGTGGTTGTACCTGCAGTGGTTGTCGTTGTTCCTGCAGTGGTAGTAGTTGTTCCTGCAGTTGTTGTGGTTGTACCTGCCGTTGTTGAGGTAGTTCCTGCAGTTGTTGTTGTTGGGCCCGTAGTTGTGGAGCCTTCATGCTCCTGAGGTGTTGTTACTTCTGAAGTTGTTGTACCTACAGTTGTTGTGGTTGTGCCTGCCGTTGTCGTAGTTGTTCCTGCAGTTGTGGTTGTAGTACCTGCAGTGGTTGTAGTTGTTCCTGCAGTTGTAGTTGTAGTACCTGCAGGTGTGGTTGTAGTACCTGCAGTGGTTGTGGTTGTTCCTGCAGCTGTTGTGGTTGTTCCTGCAGTTGTTGTTGTTGTTCCTGCAGTTGTGGTTGTAGTACCTGCAGTGGTTGTAGTTGTTCCTGCAGTTGTTGTGGTTGTACCTGCAGCTGTTGTGGTTGTACCTGCAGTGGTTGTAGTTGTCCCTGCAGTTGTTGTGGTTGTACCTGCAGCTGTTGTGGTTGTACCTGCAGCTGTTGTGGTTGTACCTGCAGTTGTTGTAGTAGTTCCTGCCGTTGTTGTTGTTGGGCCTGTAGTTGTGGAACCTTCATACTCCTGAGGTGTTGTTACTTCTGAAGTTGTTGTACCTACAGTTGTTGTGGTTGTGCCTGCAGTTGTCGTAGTTGTTCCTGCAGTTGTGGTTGTAGTACCTGCAGTGGTTGTGGTTGTACCTGCAGTTGGAGTTGTAGTACCTGCAGTTGTTGTAGTTGTTCCTGCAGTTGTTGTGGTTGTACCTGCCGTTGTTGTAGTAGTTCCTGCAGTTGTTGTTGTTGGGCCCGTAGTTGTGGAGCCTTCATGCTCCTGAGGTGTTGTTACTTCTGAAGTTGTTGTACCTACAGTTGTTGTGGTTGTGCCTGCAGTGGTTGGGGTTGTTCCTGCAGTTGTTGTTGTTGTTCCTGCAGTTGTGGTTGTAGTACCTGCAGTGGTTGTAGTTGTTCCTGCAGTTGTGGTTGTAGTACCTGCAGTTGTGGTTGTAGTACCTGCAGTGGTTGTGGTTGTTCCTGCAGTTGTAGTTGTAGTACCTGCAGGTGTGGTTGTAGTGCCTGCAGTGGTTGTTGTTGTACCTGCAGTTGTTGTGGTTGTTCCTGCAGTTGTTGTGGTTGTTCCTGCAGTGGTTGTAGTTGTTCCTGCAGTGGTTGTGGTTGTTCCTGCAGCTGTTGTGGTTGTTCCTGCAGCTGTTGTGGTTGTTCCTGCAGCTGTTGTGGTTGTACCTGCAGTTGTTGTAGTTGTTCCTGCAGTTGTTGTGGTTGTACCTGCAGTGGTTGTGGTTGTTCCTGCAGCTGTTGTGGTTGTTCCTGCAGCTGTTGTGGTTGTTCCTGCAGTTGTTGTTGTTGTTCCTGCAGTTGTGGTTGTAGTACCTGCAGTTGTTGTGGTTGCACCGGCAGTTGTTGTGGTTGTACCTGCAGCTGTTGTGGTTGTTCCTGCAGTTGTTGTGGTTGTTCCTGCAGTGGTTGTGGTTGTTCCTGCAGTTGTGGTTGTAGTACCTGCAGTGGTTGTGGTTGTTCCTGCAGCTGTTGTGGTTGTTCCTGCAGCTGTTGTGGTTGTACCTGCAGTTGTTGTGGTTGTCCCTGCAGTTGTTGTAGTAGTTCCTGCAGTTGTTGTTGGTGGGCCTGTAGTTGTGGAACCTTCATACTCCTGAGGTGTTGTTACTTCTGAAGTTGTTGTACCTACAGTTGTTGTGGTTGTGCCTGCAGTGGTTGTGGTTGTACCTGCAGTTGTTGTAGTAGTTCCTGCAGTTGTTGTTGTTGGGCCCGTAGTTGTGGAACCTTCATGCTCCTGAGGTGTTGTTACTTCTGAAGTTGTTGTACCTACAGTTGTTGTGGTTGTGCCTGCAGTTGTCGTAGTTGTTCCTGCAGTTGTGGTTGTAGTACCTGCAGTTGTGGTTGTAGTACCTGCAGTTGTTGTGGTTGTTCCTGCAGTTGTTGTGGTTGTACCTGCAGTTGTAGTTGTAGTTCCTGCAGTTGTTGTGGTTGTTCCTGCAGTTGTTGTGGTTGGACCTGCAGTGGTTGGAGGTGTTTCCGCCGTGTGTTGTTCCTTCAGTAGTTGTTGTTGTTCCCGCAGTGGTAGTGGTTGTTCCCGCAGTTGTAGTTGTAGTACCTGCAGTTGTTGTGGTTGTACCTGCAGTTGTAGTTGTAGTACCTGCAGTTGTTGTGGTTGTACCTGCAGTTGT